TCTCCGCCGTTGACGCGCGCACGCTTCGCGCGGCGTGACGGGCCTGCGCCGCCGCCCGAGGAGACCGCCGACATGCCTGCCGATGCGCCGGCCTTCCACGCGCGCTTGCAACGGCCGTCTGCGATCCTGCAGAGAACAGGGCTGGTGCTGGGCGGGTCGCTGATCTGGGCGGGCTGCTGGTTGCGCATCGCATCGTCCCATCATCAACCGACGTCCTCGTGCATTCCGTGGCCCAGTCACCGCGCCACGACGCCGAACGTCCGGCGCAGGCTCTGGACGCAGTGGTCGGCCCTCGGGTCGAGCGCACATCGCCGTCACGCGAGCTCACACCGCATCCAGCGCCCATGCGGCATGTGCTGATCGTGACCTCACCTCCCGGAGGCCCGCAGCCACAAACAACTCCCGTCAATGCCCGCACCACGGCCAGCCGTTTGCGCGCCCCCCTTGGCCGAGTACCTGCCCGAACGCTGACGTGCAGGTAGCTCCCGAGTCGCTGCGGCGCAGCTTGAAGTTGCGGAGCCGGCCCCAGGAGCGCGCTGTTGTCGCCGGCCACGCCTCTGCGAGCGCCGCGCTGCGTACGTGGGACACCCCGTCTGTCATAGGAAGTTCCACCGCTGGACAAGAACAGGGAGTTGACAGCAGCACAGGCCCGTCGCGCTCGTGGACGGGAGCCCGCAGAGTCAGCGCGCCGCGCCAGCCGACCGCCTGCTGCACGCGAGCCTCGAAAACACTGGTCAGGCACCGACGTCGCCCTGGGCGTGCCTGTCGCGTTGCCATGACGGCGTCCGCGACCAGGGCGTCGCGGAGCGGACCGCCTGCTCTCAGACAGCGATATCACGGGCTGATGCGCGGGAGCAGTGTCTGGTCTGTACGAGCAAACCTGCCCGCATTGCATCGAAGCAATCGCCCGTGGTTGTGTGTGCACGACCCCTCCCATCTTGTCTCCGCACGCCACTTGAAGGGCGGCAACAGATGACACGCGCACCTGCAGCAGCCCTGCGTCCGCCCGCGTGCCGCCGCCCATAGCAGCAGATGTCCATTATGCCATAATAATGTTACAATGTCTACGTAAGTTCCGAGCTCCGGCCGCCAGTGAAGCGATCAGAGCGCCCTCGGCTGACGCTGTCTTGTTGGCAGCTGCGATGCTCGCACTGCGTCGCTCTCCAGAGCGAAGTCATGCCTGCTACCTACTAGGTAGTACCACGAGCTCCCACACTGACGGAACGCTAACAGCGACGCGCATGGCGGGGCCGGGCGCCTACCGCCTCCTCGTCAGCCGCGCCCCGCCCCCCACCTCCTCGTCGCCCTCTACGTTCCCCTCCGCCTCCACGCCCCTCACCTCCACCACCGTCCCCTGCCCGCCACCGTACAGCCCGTACTTCTTGTTGTTGTGCATCCAGCCGCGGTTGATCACCAGACGCGCGCCGTCCTTGGCCTCGGCGCCGTTCTTGAAGTTGCCGTCGCACACCACACCGTCCGTCTCAATCTTGGTGTCGGTATTGCTGGCACTGAGTCCGCAATGTGTGTTGTCGCATACCCGCCCGCTCACGTGCAGCTTCGCGCCCTTCTCGGCACACGCGCCGTGTATGCCGTTCCCCTCGCACACCACACCCTCCGCCCGCACCTCCGTCCCGCCGCCGAGCGCAAACACGCCGCATTGCGTGTTGTTGCACAGCCGCCCGCTCACGTGCAGCTTCGCACCCTCCTGCGCACACGCGCCGTGCAAGCTGTTCGCCTCGCTCACCACACCCTCCGCCCGCACCTCCGTCCCGCCGCCGAGCATAAACACGCCACCAGCACTTGTTGTTGCACAGCCGCCCGCTCACGTGCAGCCTCGCACCCTCCTCCGCACACGCGCCGTGTATGCCGTTCTCGTCGCACACCACGCCCTCCGACCGCACCTCCGTCCCCTCGCCGGCGGCCACCACGCCGCAACACTTGTTGTTGCACAGCCGCCCGCTCACGTGCAGCTTCGCACCCTCCTGCGCACACGCGCCGTGTATGCCGTTCCCGTCGCACACCACGCCCTCCGCCGCACCTCCGTCCCTCGCCGGCGGCCAACACGCCGCACCACTTGTTGTTGCACAGCCGCCCGCTCACGTGCAGCTTTGCACCCTCCTCCGCACACGCGCCGTCCTCGCCGTTCCCGTCGCACTCAGTGACCTCCGCCCGCACCTCCGTCCCCTCACCGCGCGCGATCACGCCGCAGCACTTGTTGTTGCACAGCCGCCCGCTCACGTGCAGCTTCGCACCCTCCTCAGCACCCGCGCCGTTCGTGCCGTTCCCCTCGCACACCACGCCCTCCGCCGTCACCTCCGTCCCGCCGTTACTGGCATACACGCCGCTCAGCTTGTTGTTGCACAGCCGCCCGCTCACGTGCAGCTTCGCGCCCTCTATAGCATACGCCCCGCACTCGTGGTTGTTTTCGCACACCACGCCCTCTGCCCGCACCTCCGTCCCCTCCCCCTCCGCCGCCAGCCCGTCCCCGCTGTTCCCACGAGCGTACACCGCTCCAGCCCCACCTCCGCGCCCCCCTCCGCCTTCACCCCGCAGCACCCACCCTCCTCGTCGTCCTCGCTGCCGCCCCCCGCCTCTGCAGCCTCCCGCCCCGCGCAGCCCCCGTCCACACGGCACTCCACCATCCGCACGCCCCGCGCCCCGCTCACCCGCACCAGCGCCTCCACACCCCCCCCGCCCTTCCTCACGCCCCCACGCACCACATCCACCCTCTCCAACCGCGTCCCGCTCGCGCCCGCCCGCACCTCCACCGCCACGCCCCTCAGCACGCCGTTCCGCACCACCACCGCCTGCATCAGCTCCACCACGCTCCCCTCCTCCCCCACCACCGATCGCCCCCCCAGGTCCACCACACCCCCGGGGCCCTTCGACGCGATCAGCGACCGCAGGCCGTCCAGCGTGAGCTCGCGCGCGTCGGACGCAGCTGCACCGCCGCGGAGGGCGGCGATCTCCGCCCGCATCTCGTCCAGCATCTCCTGCTGTTGCTGCAACATCGTCGCAAGGTCTGCATTGTCCACTCGCGCGCGTTTCGCGGGGCGCGACGGGCCCGCGCCGCCGCCGCCCGACGACCCGGCCGCCATGGCTACCAGTGAGCCGTCCTTCGACGCTCGCTCGCGCGGACTCACGATCCTGCGTCCCAACAGATTGGTGCCAAGGGAGGGAGCCGTCAACCAGGCGCTCGGGAGGATGTTCTCAGCGCCCAGCTTGCCTGACGCGCACGTCCGCGATATCACGTCCCAGCGCACGTCGAGCCGCGCCCAAACACCCCCGCACCACGCCGCACGGCCACCCGAGGTGGAGGACCGTGGTAGTTGCCACACACGGCGCACGCACGTCGCTGTCACCGCCGGGCGCACCGAGACAGCCCCGCGCCCGTGCTCATACGATCACCCTCTCTCACCTCACCGCACCCGCCGACCGTTGCAACACCACCGCCCACCCCACTCGGCCGTGCACCGCCCCTTGCACCAGGTATCTGCCGCGTAGCTGAGGAGTGGACGGGCGGTTCGTTCGCTTGGCAGTCTGGAGCGACAGCATGCACCCGCCACGCGCGCCCTCGGTGCCGCCCGCGCCTCTGCGCGCATACGCGGGGCCTCCCGACAGTCCCCCCTCGCAGTGCTGCTGCGGCACACGCCGCCCCTCGCGCGCGGCAGGCCGCACAATCACCTCCGCGCCGCGCCAGCCGACCGCCCGCGCGCCCGGCCCGACATCCCCGGTCTGGCGCGCATGGCCTGCCCCCCCCTCACACGCATGGTGTTGCCCCTGCACGCGCACCACCGCGGCGGTTGCGACCGTCATCAACGCTCCGTCGCGGCTCCCGCGTCATTCCAGGAGCGGCCAGCATCGCAGGCGGACGCGCCCACGCGCCCACGCGGCGCGCAGCGGTCGCTGGCGCCCACGTACGTCAGGCCCGCCACCTTGACTCAGGGGGGGGGGAGTGGGGTGTGGGGCGTGGGACACATCGGCACGCGCCGCGCGGCGGCCCGGGCACAGTCTCGCGGGGAGGCGGGGCAGCACGCAGCCGCCTCGTGCGCCGCAACGAGCCCTTGGCAACCAAGAAACTCTGTTGGTGATTCGCACGACGGCCCCGCCGCAGTCCCTCTGGGAGGCATTCGCTCCCGGCGGCTTGCAGGGGCGCTTTCTCTGCCGCGTGACGACCGCAACAGCTCGTCTGTGGCGTAGTCTGTGCGTGTGGCCCGTCCTGGTCAGCGTTTCGCCGGCGTGGGCCGCGTACGACGGAGGGCGCCAGAACACCGGGGCGTTTCCAGCAGTCAACTACGCCTCTCCTGACGTCTGTCAGGGTCTGAGGGTACAACGCAGGCAGGCCCGGCTCGAGCGAGCGACACAGGTGCGTCTGCGCGCGCGTACGGATGTGCAGCTGCGCGCTGACGGGAGCTTGCGCGGCGAGGAGCACAGCAGGCGGTGCTTTGGCGCAGAAGCGCTTCGCCCGGAATGTATTGCCATGCGCGCCCCGAGAAGCCTATCAGATCCTCTGAGAGGCGGCAGCACCGCGCAAGAATCACGTTTTCGACCGCGGGCCCAGAGCTGGCGTAGCGTCGCCAAAACCTCTAGACCTGGAACTCTCCTCGCCCGCGCACACCCGCCCTTGTCTCCTGGGGGCTCTGCACCGCCACGAACGCCGTATTGAGGGACCTGGAGCCCAGCTGCGATTGAGCTACTCAGATTCGCGCGCAGCACACCCGGGCCTGGCCCCATGTGTTGCCCTCCGCCGTCCCCCGCCACCCTCAGGGCCACGACGGCTTCCGCGAAATTCGGGCCCCGCCGTGCTCTGCTACTGATTTCATCCATCGTCACGCCCTCAGGCGTGCGACAAGCGTCCCCTCTCCCGCCAACCGCTCTATTGGATGCGTTACTCATCACACCACCCACCCGCTCCCTCGCTCACCGCCTCGACACACGGCCGCCCGCGCGACACGCCTGCAGAGCGCGAAGCTCAAGGCGCCGCCCGAGAGGCCCTCGGCATGACGCAGCCCGACCCGGTAGCGATGAGCAGCGACGCGGGCAACACTGCGGGCTCCGGACAGAAGCTGGGTCCGAAGGAGGGGGTCCGGGAGCGGCGACGCTCAGAAGACGCCGTGGCGGAGATCGAGATCGAGATTTCGGACCCCGACGACGACGACGACGACGACGCGCAGCGTGATGCCGCTGGGCGTGAGTCGGGGAGCGACGCCGGGGGCGGAGAGGGTTCCGGCGGCGAGAGCGCCGAGGACGAAGCGGCGGAGGCGGAGGAGGAGGACGTGCGCGCTCCGACGCCGCCACAGCCGCCGCTGCGGACCGCCGCGGGCCGCCCTGCGCGCCGCGCGGCACAGCGACGCGAGCGCACGCCGCCGCGCCGCACGGGCCGCGCGAAAGCGTCGCGCCTCAACTACGCGGACCCCGACACCTCCGACGACGACCTCGGGGCCGCTGCGGAGCCAGTGACGTCGAAGGGCGACACCGACGCAGACATGAGCGGCGACGAAGACGAAGACGACGACGACGACTTCTCCTCCGGCGGACAGCCCAGCGACGCGAGCGAGGAGCCGCCGAGGAAGCTGACGCGCGCCATGAGGGCGCAGGCACGGTCGGGCTTGCCGGGGGGGGAGTCGAATAGCACCGCGCGGAAGCGGGCCACGTTGTACGTGGAGTCGTCCGACGACGAGGAGATGGCGTCCGGCAGCGACGGAGAGGGCAGCGGGGAGGAGACGGCGAGCGGGAAGGCTGGGAGAGGGGCGGGGGGGCACAAACGGGCGCGGGGGGGCGCGAGCGCGGACGGCACGGAGACGCCGGAGCTGAGCAGCGAGGACGACGAGGACGACGAGTCGCAGGTGAGCTGCGCCGGTTCGAAGCAGAGAATCGCGCGCCTCGCCCCACGCTCCCCTCAACAAGAGGGAGAGTACGGTCGTAGCCCTGCGCCCGCGCAGCGCGGCCCTCGCTCGCACGTTGCGGACGCGAACGTCCGCGGGTGACGTGCGCGCGGTGGACTGCTTCGCCGCCTGGCTGCAAGTGTCGCACGAGAAACCAAGCGAGTCAACATATATCAGTCGAGAATCCATATTCAATGTTCGGACTTCCCGCGCAGAACGGGGAGCACATATCGCTGCAGTACCTCGAGTCGCTCCACGCGTGCCGGCCGAGCAAGGCCGACCCGGGCACCCTCGAGTTCTACGTCAAGTTCGTCGACACGTCCTTCCGCCGCGGTGCGTGGGTGTCGCAAGCCGACCTCGAGGCCGCGGACAAGGCTGCGCGCGTGCGCTTGTTCCTCGCCAAGCGGGGCGACGCGCAGGAGGACGACGGGGGGCCCGAGGACGGCGTCAACCCGGAGTGGCGGGAGGTGGAGAGGGTCATTGCGAAGACCACGCACCGCAAGCGGGCCAAGCGCAGGGCGGACGGGTCCATCGGGAAGCGCACGACCACGCTGTGGCTCGTCAAGTGGAGGGGCCTGCCGTACGGGTGCGTGCGGCTTCGCGCGGGGCTGGGCGCGTGCTGCTGCGTCGGGCTGGCGCGTGTCGCTCTGTCTGACAGGGCGGTGTGTTTGTTTGGGGTTGGTGATGCGCAGGAGCTGTACTTGGGAGACGCGGAAGGACATTGCGGACAGCGAGGACGCGATCCGCGCGTTCCTGAAGCGCGAGGCGGCCTTCGAGGGCCCCTCGCAGCCCCCCACGCCCAAGGACGAGGTGGCAAGCATCATGGTCAAAATGGCCCGGCAAGGTGCGCGCGCACCACCACCCGGAGCGGCAACAACAGTCGCACCGCATCGAGTGCATCGCTCTGTGCGTCGCGCCGACGCGCCCTGCGTCCTCCGCTAGCAGGCCGGTTCCCGCGTGCGTCGTCGCGTGTGCGAGGGTAGATGTGTGCGTGCGCTCCGTCCCGGTGCGAACTCCAGGCGAGATCGAGGAGCAGATGGCGGCCGAGCAGGCGGAGGAGGCGGAGAAGGCGGGCGACGGCGCCGCGGCCTCGCCCGCCCCGGAGCCCTTTGTCAGCCCGCAGGACGACGCGCTGCCCGCCTTCAAGAACGGGAACAAGCTGCGCGGGTACCAGCGGTTCGGCGTGCGCTGGCTCCTGCAGAACTACGCGCACGGCCGCTCGTGCATCCTCGGCGACGAGATGGGCCTCGGGAAGACCCTGCAGAGCATCGCCGTGCTGCAGTTCCTGCGCACGCGGCTGCGCGTGACGGGGCCGTTCCTGGTCGTGTGCCAGCTGTCGATGCTCGAGCAGTGGCAGCGCGAGATCGAGGCATGGTGAGCGCCACGCCCCGCGCGAGTGCACGGCTACGCATGACTACGCGTGCAAAGATGCCGTTTTGCGACGGTTGCTCCGCGCGTGCGCCGACGGCTGCAGGACGGAGCTGTACGTGGTGACTCTGCACGGCAAGGGCGACCGCGACGTCCCGATCATCGCCGAGCACGAGCTCAAGTACAAGCAATCATCTTCCGCGGTCAGCGCGAAGGTCGTCGGGCGCGAGGCAGCGGCGCGGCGCAACAGGGACCGTGTGTTCCGCGCGCGCTTCGACGTGGTCCTCCTGCCGTACGAGATGCTCGTGAGGCACAGGGACCTGCTCAAAAAGATGAAGTTCGAGGCCATCATTGTCGACGAGGGACACCAGCTCAAGAGCGCGAAGAGCACGCGCGCGGCCGCGCTGCGGCAGATCCACGCGCCCTGGACGCTCCTCCTCACGGGCACCCCGATCCAGAACAACCTCGAGGAGCTCTTCAACATTCTTGCGCTCTTGGATCCCAAACAATTCAAGTCGTGGGAAGACTTCGCGGAGAAGTACGGCGCGGCGGACCCGACGTCCGAGCAGGTCGCGGCGCTGCAGCGCGTCCTGCGTCCGCGGCTGCTGCGGCGCCTCAAGGAGGACGTCGAGCAACTGCCGACCAAGGAAGAGGTCCTGGTGTGGGTGGAGCTGACGCCGGAGCAGCGGGCGTTCTACAAGATGGTCTACGAGAAGCGCGTGAGCGACCTGATGCAGGCCACGCGCGGCGGCCGCGGCGGCGCCGGGCCGAAGCTCAATAACATCGTGATGCTGCTCCGCAAGGTCTGCAACCACCCGTTCCTGGAGCACGGGCTCGAGGAGGACATCCGGCAGCGGCGGAACGTGCCGCACCCTGAGGCCGAGAAGGACGGCACGCTGATTCTGCGCGACGGCCAGCGGGGCGCGGAGATCGAGCTGCTGGTGTCGACGTCGGGCAAGATGGCGCTGCTTCACAAGCTGCTGCCGAAGCTGCGCGACGAGGGGCACCGCGTGCTGATATTCTCGCAGTTCACCATGGTCCTGGACATCATCGAGTACTATCTCACGCTCACCGGGTAAGCCTCGCGCGAAGACGCATCGCAACTCCCTGTGTGCTTGCCAGGGCGCCACAGCGGCTTTCTGCATGCATGCACGTGCGCTGCCGAGTGGTGTGTATCCAGTCAGGCCCACGCTTCGCGAATCGCAAGGGTCTTCGCGTGCGGTGTCCGCAGGATGACGTACGAGCGCGTGGACGGCAACGTGACGGGCGCGCGGCGGCAGGCCGCGATCGACCGCTACATGGCCCCCGACTCGGACAAGTTCGTCTTCCTCCTGTCCACGCGCGCGGGCGGCCAGGGCATCACGCTCACCGCCGCGGACCGCTGCATCATCTACGACAGCGACTGGAACCCGCAGAACGACCTGCAGGCCATGGCGCGCTGCCACCGCATCGGGCAGGACCGCGACGTCGTCATCTACCGTCTCCTCAGCCGCGCGACGTACGAGGAGCAGCTGTTCCGCATCGCGTCCGTCAAGTTCGGGCTCGACACTGCCGTCCTGGGCACGATGAACAGCAGCGACGCGGCGAAGCTCGATCCCGCGGAGGTCGCGCGGATGCTGCGCGAGGGCGTGCACGCGTTCACGGACGCCGGGGAGGGCGCGGAGGACCGCGGCGAGGCGTTCATGGCTGCAGACATCGATGCTATTCTTCAACAGAAGACTGAGAAGCGGCAGATCGGGTCCCGGGCGGGGAACCACTTCTCGACGGCGACGTTCGCGGCGGACGTGGACGTCGGGAACAAGGAGTACTGGGAGAGCGTGCTCCCGGACGCGGTGCGCAAGTGGGAGGAGGAGCAGCTGCTGGCGCTGGAGGGCCCGCGCACGGCGCGGCAGCGGCGCGTGGTGACGTACGACGAGGAGAGGCTCGCGGACGCCAGGGACACGAGCGACGAGGACGAGCCGCCGCCCAGCGCGAAGGACAAGTCCGGCGAGTGGGCGCTGCGGGATATGGAGGCCGTCGAGCGCTTGATGATGCAGTTCGGCGCGGAGAACGTCGCCGGCGTGGCGGAGCGCGCGAAGCTCCGCAGGGCGGAGCACGAGGTCGCGGCGTGCATGCAGGTCGTGCGGAAGCTCTGGGAGCTGTCGCGCGACGCCAAGCCGCAGGGGTCCGGCAAGGGGGGGTCTGACGAGTCAGGGAACAAGACCTTCCGGCACCAGGACGTGCTCGCTCTCGCGCGCGCGAACATGCGCGCGGCGGCGCGCGAGCTCCTCGCGCGACCGACGGAGCCCAAAGACACCCCCCCCGCGGAGAAGCTCGCGCTGGCCGAGGCCGCCGACGCGGTCAGACAGGTCGTGACGAAGCCCGACGGGGAGAAGCTGACGCCGGAGCGCATCAAGATTCCCAAGGACGTGTACGTGCAGACGGGAGGCGGGCGCGCGGAGAAGGAGTTCTGGCGCACGGACGCCGTCGTGCTGTGCGCGATCGCCAGACACGGCGTCGCGTTGACCAAGAAGCAGCGGTTCCCGATGACCCAGGACCTCATGTCGGCGCCGGAGAAGCTCGCGCGGTTCATCGGCAACGAGGACGTCGAGACCTGGGGCGCCGAGTTCGACCTGGCGCGGACCTACAAGGACGACCCCGCAGCAGCGCTCGGCAGCCTGCAGCGCAACCAGAACATGCAGAGCAAGTTCGTCCGCGGCCGCATCGTGCCCGTGGCCAAGATGGTGAAGCACATGTTTGACACGGTCGAGGTTGGGCCGGACGAGGACCGCGCGGAGAAGGTCCGCACCCAGCTGCAGTGGGAGTTCGACTCGATCGAGCCGCGCTGGCGGGAGCGCGTGCAGAAGGCGCTGGAGGCGCGGGCGGCGAAGAAGGCGAAGGCGCAGACCGGGGGCGGCGCAAACACGATCAAGGCGATCATGAAGCGGCAGGACGACATGGCCAGGGAGCAGTGGGGTGTTTTCTCTGCGCCGCATGGTCCCGCGCCGAAGGACAAGAAGTGGAGCGCAGTGTGCGTCGTGTGCAGGAACGGCGGGACGCTGCTGCGCTGCCACACGCCGGCGTGCTCGAACGCGGTGTGCGTGCAGTGTATGAGGCTCAACACCCCCCCTGATGTCGCCGCGGGCACTTGGCACTGCCCGCGCTGCTCCGGGCAGCCGATGCCGCTCCCCGCGCGCGGGCAGCCGCCGAGCAAGACCTCGGCGGTGCCTGCGAACAGCGCCAACGCCGCGGCGGCGGCGCAACGGCCAGTGCACGGGCCGGCCCGCGCAAAGCCAGCGCAGGCGGCTGCGAAGCGCGCGGCGCCGCGTTCGGCGGCGACCCAGCCCGCGGGCGTGGCGCTGGAGCTGCAGAGGCTGATGCGCGAGCTCAATGAGATGAACAAGTCGCTCGGGGCGCAGTGGACGAGGATGCAGGATGCGGGCGCAACGAAGGAGCAACTCGATGCGTTCACCAGGCAGCACAAGCCCAAGACCGAGGCACTAGAAGCGAAGATTCGGAGCCTCTCTACCGCGCTGCAATACAGCCAGGCGGCGATGCTGCAGCAAGCGGCGCGGCAGCAGACAGCACAGCAGCAAGCGGCGCAGTCCCAGCCTGCGGCGACCGCGGCGGCGGCGCGGGAGGTGCCCGAGGAGGACGCCGCTCTGACCCTGAACGCTCTCAAGGTGTCTGGTCCGAGCAGCGGGCCCCCGGCGGCAGGCACGGGCGCGGGGCGGAATGCCGCGCCAGGCGGTCGCGGCGGTGCCGTGGAGCACATCGTGACGACGGTCAAGGGCCTCTTGTCAGCGGTGAAGCGCAAAGCGGCGGAAGAGACGGACCCGGAGGTGGCGAGGTCGATGCGGTCCACCCTGGCGGAGGTGCAGAAGGAGGTGGAGGCGATGTCGGCCGACGTCATGGACATGGAGCGCCTGCGGTCGTGCCAGCGGATCCTGCAGAGGGCCCTGCAGCTCCCCACGAGCCGCAAGGGCGCCTCTGGGGCCGCCGCAGCGCCGCCCGCGCAGCCCAAGAGCGCGGCGAAGGCAGCGACCCCGCCGCCGGCCAGCAAGCAAGGGCCGTCGGCCGGCACCGCGGCTCCGGCGAAGCCGACGACACAGACGCAACCAGGGCCAGCGAAGTCCCCCGCGCCGCCGGACAAGGGAGCGGCTGCGCCGCGGAAGGTCGACGGCGGCGCGGCGGCGGTCACGGGAGCGGCGCTGTCGTCGCGAGCGGGTGCCGGGGAGGACGAGCAGGCTGCCCAGCTGCTGCGCGAGATGTCGCAACAGAAGCAGAAGCGGCCGGCGCCCAAGCAGGCCGCGCGGCGACCGGCGCCGCAGAACGTGGCGCCCCAGCAGCGTCCCCAGGGAACGCAAAGGCCGGGCGCAGCGACGGTGCAGATGATGGCACAACAGATGATGACGCAGCAGATGCAGCATATGACGCCGGCGCAACAGAAACAGATGCAGGACATGTTGCGGATGCGTTTGCAGCAGGCGCAGCAACCTGCGCGGCCGGGACAGGGGCCACAGGCACAGCAGTGGCGCCCGGTGACGGGGCAGCAGAGTCCACATCAGATGCAGATGTTCCATCTGCAATTGGGGATGCTGCACCAGCAGATGATGGCGATGATGCAGCAGGTGCAGCAGATGGAGGCGATGGGCCAGGCGGTGCCGCCGGCGGCGCGGCAGCAACTGCTCCACATGCAGCAGATGTGGCAGGCCGCGCAGCAGCAGGCCGCGCAGGCCGCAGGCGCTGCCGGGCGTCCTGCTGCTGGCGTCGCGTCGGCGAGCACGCCCGCTGCTACGCCGCCGGTCAGCCCCGCCGGGGCAGCAGTCAGGCCAGCGCCACGCGCGTCGCCCGCAGCGCCGCCCGCAGCGTCGCCCGCCGCGCCGCCCGCTGGAGCCACCGAGGCAGCTGACGAAGACATCATCGTCCTTGACGCCACGACAGCATGACGCAGCTGCGTCTTTGGGGTACTAGGCATCATGGACATGCACGAACGGGGGGGGAGTGGTGCCCGGCAGCGGTAGGATCGAGGCGCGGGTGCGCGCCCCTGCGCAGCCGGATGTGACGCATTCATGCAGAAACCCGCGCGAGGCGCAACCGTTCACCTATCTCGCTGAGACACGGGTGGTGCGCAACATGCTAGACACCGTCCACGCCCGCACACGATCGAGTCGGCGGCGCACCCGCGCCCGCTGAGTGCAAGCGGCCGCGGCCCAGACCCCGCTGCGGCGTGTTGACGGCAGCAAGCAAAGTGACACATGTTGGAGACGAGAAGGAGTTCACGGGGAAGAGTTCACATGCGCGACGTCCCCGGGAGACCCGGGAACGCGGCGGCAGCTAGTCTCTACCACCGTGCGCTGGGACGCGCCGGCCCACACGAGCCCTCGCCCAGCAAGGGGGCAGCAGGTCGTGTCCGGCCCCAGCCGCCGAAGCGACGCCGCCAAACAGAGTCAGCGACGTGCCGCGACGGCCGTGCCGCGGGGCCGACGGCGCCGCCAGCTGCGGACTAGGCGTGGGTCTCCATGCCACCGGTCACGAGGTCGCGGCGGTCACGGGCGGCGGGGGGGGGAGTGCGCTTAGTACTCCTCGCCCTCCTCCTCACCCTCGCCCTCGGCCGACTCGGCGCCGACCTCCTCGTAGTCCTTCTCGAGGGCCGCGAGGTCCTCGCGGGCCTCGGAGAACTCGCCCTCCTCCATGCCCTCGCCGACGTACCAGTGCACGAAGGCGCGCTTGGCGTACATCAGGTCGAACTTGTGGTCCAGGCGCGAGAAGACCTCGGCGATGGCGGTCGAGTTCGAGATCATGCACACGGCGCGCTGCACCTTGGCGAGGTCGCCGCCGGGCACGACCGTGGGCGGCTGGTAGTTGATGCCGCACTTGAAGCCCGTGGGGCACCAGTCGACGAACTGGATGGTGCGCTTGGTCTTGATCGTCGCGACGGCGGCGTTCACGTCCTTGGGCACCACGTCGCCGCGGTACATCAGGCAGCACGCCATGTACTTGCCGTGGCGCGGGTCGCACTTGGCCATCATCGAGGCGGGCTCGAAGGCGGCGTTCGTGATCTCGGCCACCGACAGCTGCTCGTGGTAGGCCTTCTCGGCCGAGATGACCGGGGCGTACGACGAGAGCATGAAGTGGATGCGCGGGTACGGCACCAGGTTGGTCTGGAACTCCGTCACGTCCACGTTGAGCGCGCCGTCGAACCGGAGCGACGCCGTCAGCGACGAGATCACCTGGGCGATCAGGCGGTTCAGGTTCGTGTACGTCGGGCGCTCAATGTCCAGCGAGCGGCGGCAGATGTCGTAGATGGCCTCGTTGTCGAGCATCACGGCGACGTCCGTGTGCTCCAGCAGCGAGTGCGTCGACAGCACCGAGTTGTACGGCTCGACGACCGCCGTCGACACCTGGGGCGACGGGTACACGGTGAAGCCGAGCCTGCGGGGGGCGGGCGGGCGGGGAGCGGGGCGGGTCGGCACGTGTCAACAGGCGTGAGGGCAGCCGCCCCGTCGCGCGGGCCCGGCGCGGCGCGGGGGTGCGCGCGCGCGGTCGTGAGCGGACGGGGAGATCGGGAGGCGGCGGGAGCGGGCGGAGGGGGCGCGGGAGGGGGGGTGTCGGGGGCGCACTTGGACTTCTTGCCGTAGTCGACCGACAGGCGCTCGAGGAGGAGCGAGCCGAGGCCGGAGCCGGTGCCGCCGCCGACGGCGTTGAACACCAGGAAGCCCTGGAGCCCAGTGCAGTTGTCGGCGAGCTTGCGGATGCGGTCCAGGCAGAGGTCCACGATCTCCTTGCCGATGGTGTAGTGGCCACGGGCGAAGTTGTTCGCGGCGTCCTCCTTGCCGGAGATGAGCTGCTCCGGGTGGAACAGCTGGCGGTAGGTGCCCGTGCGGACCTCGTCGATCACGGTCGGCTCGAGGTCGAGGAACACGCAGCGCGGGACGTGCTTGCCAGCACCCGTCTCCGAGAAGAAGGTGTTGAACGCGTCGTCGCCACCGCCGATGGTCTTGTCGGAAGGCATCTGGCCATCGGGCTGGATGCCGTGCTCCAGGCAGTAGAGCTCCCAGCAGGCATTGCCCACCTGCAGGCCGAGCCGGCGCGACGGGGGGCGGAGGCGAGGTCAGCGCGCCGCGAAGCGGTCGTGGGGATTAAAATAGGCCGGGGAGCGGCGCGCGGGGGGCGGGGGCGCGCCCGGGAGGCCGCGCGGGATTCAAGCGCGGGACGAGCCAAAAATGGCGAGGTGGCCCGCGGGCCGCGCGCGAGGCCCGGGAGGCGCTCGCGCGCGCAGGCCCCGCGAAAATGCGTTCGTACGAGCGAGGTTTCGCGCGCGCGGTGCGCGGGGGCGCGCGGGGGGCGCCGCGGCGGGCAAGGTGGTCGGCATGGGCAGGGGCACGCACCTGGATGCCGGCCTGGCCGATGTGGATGGAGATAACCTCACGCATATTGAAAGCTTACTGTGAATGAAGCGAACGAGGACGCTTAGACCCAGAAAGTGAAGGGCGAGTGCGCTGCGCGGCGCCCAAGTGCCGAGCATGCCTGGGGGACTGCCATTTGGGACGCCCCCGAGGCCTCCACCTGCGTAGGGCCGCGCCCGACGCGGCCCCGCGGACGGGAATACCCCGCAGGCGACGCGCCGCATGCCGCGCCCACCGGCGGCCGCGCCGCCGGGGCGCGCGGCGCGAGCGACCGCCCCGCATGCCGCACCGAATGTCGCCACATGCGCCGCGGCGCCTCCGCCGCGCCTCCCGGCCTTGGATCCGCCCCTCCGCGCTCCTCGCGCAGCAAACATACCGCCAGACCCCGTCGAGCGCCTCGGGCGCGCCCCGAACGGAAGCCCGCGTGCCCAGACCACATGTGAGGGCACACATACACACCGCGGCGATCGGCCCTGGGACAGACACCGCGATCCGATCGCGCGACGGCCTCGGCGCGTCCGCGGCGCGGTCGCACAGGGTGCGCTGCCGGCCAGCGACCGCGGGCGACGCGCCACATGCGGGGTGGCAACTCGCGACGTGCATGCTGGGCCGTGGGATCGGCGCGCCGGGCGCGGCGGCCGCGGCGGAGGGGCTCGCAGGGACGGCGCGGAGCGCGGTGGTGGCGCGGATCACACACGCGCGCGGGCCTCGCGCGCGGCACCGCGCCCGCGCGGCACGGCGCCCGCGCGCGTACGCGGCCACTACTTGGCGGCCTTGTTGCGTCGGTTCGACAGGAACTTGATCTGGGAGACGTGGAGGGCGTGGAGGAACTCGGAGAGGCTGAGCTTCTTCCCCGAGTGGATGTCCGCGGTCCCGAACAGCTCGGTGAGCATCTGGTCGAGCGCCTGCCGCCCGTAGCGCAGGTACATGATCTGCTGGGCCTCCTCGACGGACACGTCGCCCGAGCCGTCCTTGTCGTTGATGAGGAACTCGACCACGTTGTAGAGGCGCCGCGGCTCGAACCCCGTCTTGTCCTCGCGGCACCGGTAATACATGCCGCGGAACTCGTCCCAGTTCACCGCCTTGTCGCAGTCCTCGTCCACCTCCCAAATCATGTCCTCGATGTCCTTCTGCGCGGCAACGCCGCGGCGGGGCGCGCGTGGGCGCGGGCGACGCAGGCCGCAAGCGGCGCACGCGCTGGGCCGCCGGGGGGCGTGCGGGGCGGTGCGGGGGCCGCGCGCGGTGCTCCGGCCGCGCTGGAGCGGCCGTGCGTGGCGCGCTGGCGCGGGCGGGTCGCACCTTGGCGCAGCGGTGGCCCAGGTCCTTGAACAGGTCCGCGATCTCCTGGGCATCGATCTTCCCGTCCTTCTTATTGTCTATCTTGTCGAACGCCCGCCGCAGCTGCTCCCCCTCGTTCTGCTTGGCGTACCGCTCCTGCGGGCAGAGCGCGGGCGGGGCCGCGACGGGTGAATGCGGGGCCGTGCGCGACGGCGGGGCGCCGATACGATGCGCGGCGGAGCGCAGGAGACGCTCCGGTCACGCGTGAGCGCAGAGGCGAGGAGAAAACGCCGCGTGGGGGCGTGTATTGTGCGCAACGGCCCGCGTTGCACGCCATGCGCCTGCAGGGGACGCTCGTCGCGTCGCTAGAGGCCGCAGCGGCGAAATGGCGGCCGCGTTCGGGGCCCAGGGCGTGGTTCTGGTGTTCCTGCGGCCGCTGGCGTGCCGTACGGCGCCGTTCGGGGCCCGGCGGGGCGCCGCGGTGGGTGTACATGCCTCCAGAAAGAGCACCCGTGGGCGGGCCGTACAGCCTCCGCTCGGTGAGAAACCCGGCCAGGATGCGCCGGGCGCGCATCCAGCGGGCCAGGGGACGGCGTTCGAGCGCAACGGGCGCCAGATGGCGCGCCCTGCCGGCCGGCGTGGGGGCAAGCGAAGGGGAGGCAGTGGCCGCTCCGTTCGGCGGTGAGCGCCCACGCGCGAGGTGGATGTTCCGCGCAGCTCGCTCAGAAAATATACAGCGTGCGAATGATGGGGAGCTCACTCTCGCGGTCGCGCTCGCCATCCTGCCCCACGACCTCTACACCTCGAGCGCCCCCTGCAAGGCCCGATTTCCCGTCCGGAACGCCACGATGTGGTCAATGTCGCCCTGAGAACGGCCGCACGCGACGCCGATGCTGCTACTGACGCTAGTCAACACGCACGCCTGCCGCCAACGTGCCCCGCGGACCGCACAGCGCCCCCAATCACTTCGCCAGGCACCACTGCTCAGCAACACCACCGACTCCCCCCCCGTGCACGGCCGGCACGACGTGCGGACGCCGCCGCACCACTGCGCGCCGGGTCGGGTCCCGGCGGCGAGGCTGGCGTGCCCGGCGGCGTCGGAACGCGGCGCGAGCAGCACTCGTGCGTGTCACAACCGCAGGCGGCCGACCGCGCCACACGCCGCTGTGGGCAGGCGGCACCGACCTGCTGACAGTGCTGTGCCACGCACCGACCCGGCACGGCGCCGAACTTAGCTCACGCGCGTGTTGTCGTCAGGCAGGCTCTGATTGCATCACGACGCACACGTGTGGGGATGAGCCGGTCGTGGCGCCGCGGAGGCCATCGCACCGCGCACGGCGAGCCCCGCAGCGCGTTGTCGCCACCGCCGGACCACACCCGCGGCTCTCGTCGCGCGGAGCGAGGCCGCACAAGTTGGGCACTGGATTGGACGCGCACGTGGCGGCCGCGCCGGGCTGGCGGCCGCGGCACTGCGGCCACCGCGCATATGACGGCCAGCACGCGCACGAACGATCGTAGAGCCCCCCCAATTGTTACATGGGCAGCCATCACCTAATGTCGATGCAGCCTGTGTCCCTCACGCGCCCCGTGCTGATCTCGGCGCACAGCTCCACACCGGGCGCAACGGTGATGCGGCCCCCGCCGCTGACCTCCAGGCACCCCTCCTTGTTGCCCTCCATGCGCCCGCCCGTGATCGAGATCTCCGCATGCCCGTTTGCGCTGGCGCCAACCGTCTCGTTGTCCTCGAACACCACGTCGCGGGCAACCACCACAGTCCCCGGGCCCCTGCAATACACCCCCCGGCCGCTGGCCTTGGTGACCCTGCAGCGGGTCAGCTCCGCAGATGCAGATCTCCCAACGCCCACATTGGGGCAGTCTTCTAAGCCGTTGCTGTGTACGTCCACGTCCGTGGCAACCAGCTTCGCGCCCCCGCCGAGAACGCGCACACCCAAGTTCATGTTCTTGGCAGACTCGCCCCCTGTCAGGTTGACGCTCCCGCCCTCGATCGCGTTGACGCCTACGAACATGTTCCCGTTGAACTTCGAGTCCTTCGCCGTCGCGTGCGACTCCGCGCCCTCCACCTCCAGCCCCATGTGGTTGTTCGTCGCGGTGCAACGCAGCAGCTCGACGCCGCCCGCGTCCTGCGCCAAGGCCCCCGCGCCGTTCCCAGATATCGCCACGTCATGCGCGACCGCCAACGACCCGCGCCCTCGCGCCCAGATGCCGGGCGACATCTCCCGCAGCCCGCCCGGCCCCCTCGGTGCGATTCCGCCCTCCTCCGCCGGACGCACCCCGCTCGCGGTCACCTTGCCCCCAAACAGCTCGACGACCCCGCCGTCCGACGCGAGCGCACCCGCGGCCTGGTTCTCCTCGCACCGCAGTCCGTGCACCGTGATCCGGGTCCCGTCGCCCGCCGCGTGCAGCCCGCACTTCTCGTCCCGGTCGACTCGTATGTCGTACAACTTGACACTGCCGCCGTCCTCCGCTTAGGGAATCTGAAACGATGTCTCGCCGTGTAAGTGCTCAGGATCACGCGAGGCCGAGTTTTTCGAACGGGCGCGCCTCAACACTCACAGAGAAGAGGATGCGGTCCTCCGCTTGCCGCCAACGTGCCCCACCGACCGAACAGCGGCCCCCGATGTCGGATGACTTCGCCAGGCAGGGCGGTCCTCCTGCTCAACACCACCGACTCCCCCCCTCCCCCGTGCACGGCCGGAGGACGTGCCTTGCGGCCGCCGCACCACTGCGCGACGGCCAGACCCCCCTTGCGTCGGAGGCGGGCGTGCCGGGGAACGCGTGGTGGTCGGCACCGGCGCGTGCTGCACCCTAGGTGCTGCCCGCTGCGGCGGACGCCGTCCGCTCCACGCATGCTGACCCGAACAAACTACCCCGGCGCGGTCATCGCACTGTGCCGCGCAGCGGCCCCAAGCAGCGTGCATCGTGTAAAATCTTCCGTGACGTGACTTGCACATGATACGCCGCATTCAAGCGGCATCAGAGGGCACTGCGCAGCGGCTCTGCCCGAGCGCAGGCGCTTATATCTGGCTTGCAAGCAGCAGGCATGATCGAGCCGTCCAAAACCGAAAAATGCCGCGTTCCGCGCAACCTAGCAGCATTGGTCTTGTCTCTCTCACACGGGGTCAGCGGCGCCCACCCGCCAGCTACCCGAACCACCTCGCGAACAGCCCCCTCTTCTTCGCTCCCGCGGGCAGGGGCGGCTGCAGCGGCGGCGGACCGCCCGCGTCGACGCAGAGGGGTGCCGCCACAGCGCACTGTGCCTTGGGCGCTCTGACGGGCTCGAACGGCTGCGGCTCACGTGCCGCTTGGGCCACGCGCGGCAGCGCCGCGGGTCCCGCAGCCTGATGACGTTTGTTCGTGCGGCTGCCGTCCGCGTGCGTCTCGGCAGGCCCTGCAGAGGCGCAGTGCCTTGCGTTGGCCGCCGACGCGCCGACGCGGCCCCCGGCGCTGGTGTTCCCCGACGCAGGGAGCGGCCAGGACACGTAGGAGGACGCGAAGGTGCACAGCCACGCGTTGTCGAGGACTGTCGCGATGTTCGGCCGCTTGGTGGGGTCCCGCTGCAGCAGCTGCGTGATGAGGTCTCGGCAGCCCGCGCTGATGCGGCCGGGGAGCGGCTGTATGCGGCCTGCAGTGGCGAGGCCGCGGGCGGCAGGACGTGAGGCGACGTACCCCTCGACCGCGCGCACGGCCGCACCGCGTGCAACGGCAGTAACTGCGGCCCGCGGCGTCGTGAATGCCGATGCAGGCGGAGCTGATAGGGCGGGCAGGACAGGGCAGCATCGAGCAGGAACGGGCGGGGCCTGGTGGGAAGCAGACCTTCGCGGATCCGCGCCACGGTGGCGACGATGTTGTTGGGCTTCAGTGGGTCCTCGAACGGGTACACGCCGGTCACGAGCAGGTACAGCATCACGCCCAGCGCCCAGAGGTCGACGGCCATCGCGTCGTACGCCGGCGCGACGGCGCCGCTGCCCCCCGGGCTCTGGACGCCCCGCGTCGCCGCAACCGCCGCGGCAACGGTCGCGGCCGCGCTGCCGCTCGGCTGGACGAGCTCCGGCGCGAGGTAGTCCGGCGTGCCGACGCCGAGCGTGCGCGCGCTGTTGCTGCCTTTCGCGAGTCCGAAGTCAATCAATTTGACCTGATCCGTGCTGCGATCGATCATGACGTTCTCCGGCTTGAGGTCCCTGTGGCAGAGCTTGCGCGCGTGCAGAACCGCGATGCCCTCGGCCACCTGGCGGATGTAGTACGCGGCCATCGCCTCGCTCATGGTCCCGCCGTTCGCGTTGAGGCGGTCCAGCAGGTCGGGCCCGTCGACAAGCTCCCACACGATGCACATCTGAACACCTGGGGGGCAGCGGGCGCGGGAGGGACTCGCGCGTTGAGCGTGAAATTCGCGCTGAACGTCGTCCTCGATGTGTCTCGGTTGCGCTCGCGTGATGGTGCTGTTGCTATTGTGTCTTTTTCTGAGCTGTTGACACCAAAGCTCGCGAACAAACACCACGTCGAGGGAACGAGATTGAAGATCATGGTTGCGTCTCGAGTGGGTCGCTTGCCTTCCGCGAACACGTCCAGTAGCCGCACGATGCGCTCGTGCTCGATGCTGGACGCGTACGTGACCTCCCGCGACACCACGTGCACCGGCGCCGCCATCTTCCCCTCCCGCGCGTTCAGCACCTTGATCGCCACCGCATCGCCCGTGCTCGCATTGAACGCCTGCACGCACCTCGCAACATGATGTCGTTGCCGAACGCCCCGAAGCCACCGTACAGTACAGTAAGGCGCGTGGAATGTGCAAACGCGTCGCTGGCGGCGCCGATCGCGAGAGTAGAGCCGGTGCCGTCATACCGGACGCGGAGGTGTAGCTGGGGTTCCACCCAACAGGTAGGTTGGCAGTGTGACGACACTTTGTACACCCACCTGGTACACGACGGCAGTGCCGCCCCGGTTGAGCTCCCGCTCTATGATGTACCTCCCTCGCCCGAGCACGTCCCCGCGACCGAACGGCGCCACCCCCCGCCGCGCCATGGCCTTCTGATTCTTCACCATCGGAGTCCGCGATGCCGCAGTCGCTGGCGAGGACGAAACGCGGCGCCGGGGCCCACGGCGTCAAGGAACGGTCCGGCTGGGAACGACGTCAACGTTCTCGCGCTTCTCCGTCGCTCGATCTCCACGAGGGTCTCGTACGTCGACGGAACCAACAACAAACGACACCTGTGAGCGATGCCCAAAAGAGCTGGTTCGAAGACTCTCACGGAACGACGTCAACTTGGTCGGCGCCGACGCGCCCCGACTGGCCCACGCCCAGCGGTGCCCGGCGCCATGGCCCCTCGCGTGGTCCGTCGCCCCCGGGGGTGGGACGCGTCCGAGGTTCGACACAGCAAGGGTGTGCGTTTGTGCCCTCTCATGGCCACGTCACCGCCGCCGCGCCGCGGCCGCTCGCGCCCCGGATGCGCCACGGAGAGCACTCGATCTCGCGGGCCGGACGCCAGCGTACCTCGTCTCTGCCTTCAAGCGCTCCGGAGGCCCCGTGATGATCGTCGCGCACCCGACAACACAACAAGGCCGAACAGCTGGTACTGGCCGTGCGCAGAGCACGTGCAGACGACCTCGAAGACCAGCGCGAGGACACTGCGCGCGTCGATGTCCTTGAGCTGGTCTTCGATAGCCGGCAGCGCGGTCGGGGTGGCGCAACATCGTCCCTGCTCTTGCACGCGTTGCCGCGTCCGCTGTCAGCGCTGATGCCGGCGCAGTCACGCGCACGCCGTCGGCACGCCCTTGTGATCGTCCTTGCAGCGGGGCGCGCCGCGGCCGCGAGAGCAACCTGTCCAGACTGCGCCCCGCAAGCAGACTGTGTGTTGGGGGGGGAAACCACACCGACCTGACCGGCGCTCGCCCGACGATAGCGACGCGCGAGCCGTCCGCGGGCGGCAGGTGCTCTCGACAGGAGCCGAGGCGGGTCACAGGTCGCATGTGCTGCGTGCGGGTCACGGTGGGCACGTCCGGCCCATTGTTGGTGTGCAACGCGCGCTTTCAAGTGATCGCGGGGGGACGAGCATGCTCGGCGAATATCTCGCGCATGAGGTGCGTGTTCCGGAGTGTGAAAGCAGGTCTGCGCCCGCCCTCTCCGCTCCGACGCATCCTGTGGATTCAAAGGCGAATTAAAACATCAAGGCAGTACAGACGCGGCCGGGTGCCGCTGTCTGCGAGTCGTGCACGCGGTAGCACGTGGCACGCGCTACCGTGACTCAGAACGGGAGCTTCTGCTCGACCGCGGCCTCGCCGTCTGCGTCGTACTCTTCCTTCGTCAGCCAGGCGCTCGCAACGGAGCCGAGCCCGCAGAGCACCGAGCCGCCCACCCACGCACTGTGCTGCCTGTCATCCGGCGCGACGACGGCCACGTCCTCGGCGGAACCCTCGGGCGCCAGATTCCTGCAAGACACATTGTGATTTGACAAATCATCAATCGAGATTCCACGGACTCGATGGGACCCCGCTCGCCCGCCGCTCCCGCGCACATCGCAGGCGTCGCACCTGACTTCCATCTGGAGCCGCTCCGGGAAGTTCTTCAGCAGCGTGGTGCCGCCGGTCAGCAGGATCGCGCTGTACAGCTCCGCACGGCGTTCCGCGGGACACTTCCGGATGGCCTCGAAGACCAGCTCGTGGACGCCGCGCGCATCGAGCCCCGCGAGCGAGGGGTCGAAGAGGATCTCCGGCGCGCGGAAGCACTCCGGCCCGTACCTGCGGGCGTTGCGCTCGGGTCGCTCCGGCGCGTCTCGGCGGGCGGCCGGCCTCGAGCGGCTCGAACGGGCGGACGCACGGCGCCTCCGATGGCCGTAACGGGCCTGGCGCGGAGCACTTGCAACACCAGGCAACGCACAACGGACAGGGGGCGCTGAGGGCCGACGGAGCTCAGACCAAACGGCGCCCGCGCCGTTCCCTCGTACGCGAGGGCGTCTGAGCCCTTAGGCGGTCCGCGCGGTGGCAGCAGTGGACGCGGGGGCGCACTTGATGATGCCGTCCTCCTCGTGCTCGAGGTTGAGGAGCGCGCGCTCCTCGAACTCCTTCCCCGACTCCTCCTCGAAGTCGTCCGCGACGTACGCGACGTGCTCCTTGACGCGGTTCGCCACGTGGAAGGGCATCTCGTCGCCGCCGTGGGCCTCCTGGATCTGCAGGGTGATGTCGCGCCCGCCGAGGGGCAGCCGCTGCACCGCGTCGACCACGACGTTGCCGTCGAGCACCGGAGTGACGTGCGTGACGCCGTGGCCCACGGACACGACGACGCCTGCGTGACGCACCGCGCACGTATGGTAGTTGAGGCATGGGGGCGCGCAGGGAGCGAGCGGGGACCGGGCGGGCGCCCGTGGGGGAACGTGTGGAACTCACCTGTCATGGCGCCGGCGCCGAAGAGCGCGAGCTTGCCCGACGAGGACGTCAGGATCTTCGGCACGCCCAGCTTCTCCAAGAGGATGCGCGCCAAGGCCGCCCGCTCGGCCTTGGAGCACGTCGGGCTCTCCAGAACCAGCACGGGCGTTTCCTCGGGCTCGCACTTGAGCATCTTGATGCAGTACTTGCTGCGGAAAGGGTCCGGATCGGGGCACAACGTGAGCAGTGCTTACCTAACGCGCGCGCGGGGAGCCAGGGGCGTCGGGGAGAGTCCGCACATGATCTCCTCGACGTCCTCGAAGTTGACGATTTCGCCGGCGTCGACCGGGGGCTTGACGTGCACGTCGCTGCTGGCCTCGGCCTTGTTGAGGTCGCCGCCAACCAGCAGCTTCGGGGCGCCGGCCTCGCGCGCAACCAGCGTGCGCATGATCAGCTGGTGCTGCTCATAGCCTGAGATCCCGGCCTTGACCGTCCCCGAACCGATGTCGATCACGATGGGGTCGACCGCCGCATTCTCCTCCTCGCTGGCCATCTTGGCGTTTCAAGGCGGCCCGACGGACTCAAGCTGCGCGTTCCTCGCCCTGGCAAGCCACGAGTGCTCGCGGCGTGCAGCGGGCAGCCGTCTTGCTGCCAAGCGGGCGCCCCGGGCGGCCGTGCTGAGCCCGCACCAGGGTGCCTGACTGGACGTCGCACTGCGGATCCGCGACTTCACGGACACTGAGGCGTCATTCTGGGCCGAGGGTCGGTCTCGAGCATGGCCATGATCGTGTCGTTCGTCGAGTGGAGTGAGACTCGTCTCGGATGATGGTGGCAGCAGCGAACGGCCGGGTGGGCGCGAGTTGTTGGCAAGATCGCGCATTTCGCGGCGGTCGCGAGGCCAGCGTGTCTTACGCGCGGCGATGCGGGCACGAGCACGCCGCGCTGCATCGTACTGGGTCGTACGTCGAACGAAGAGCAGGCCCGGAGGTCACCAACAGGACGAGCATATATTACTCATCACACGATGGAAGGCAGAGACATGTTGAAGCCCCAACAAGGGGGAAAGGGGCGCTCTTTCTCACTACCGCCCGGCAGAACTCTCGTCGAGCGCACCCGGCGGCGCTGTCACGACCACGTCAGAGCGAGCGCGACGCCCTGGAGCGTATTGCGCGCGTTCTGTTGCGTCGTCTTCTTCCTCTGACAGACGCGCGGACGCGCACCGCTGTGCATCACGGCCGCGCGCCCTCACTCCCTGCGCGCCCCCGTGCTGTCGATCACGCCCTTCGCGGCGAGGTGCTTGAAGGCGGCCTCCCGAGACGTGGGCGCCGCGCGCCCCGGGAACAACGACAGCCAGTGCCGCTTGCGCTGGTTGACGAACCAGTACCCGACCTGGTCCGGCTTGATCCCCGCCTGCTCCGCCAGCGAGTCCTTCTCTGCCTCGCTCGGGTACGGCCACGCGAAGTGCTCGTCCCAGTACTCCTTCAGCACGACTGTGGCCGCGTCGGGCAGCTTCGAACTCTTCTTCTGCGACGACAGCCGCCTCGCGAGGTCCAGGATCGCGTCCGGCTGCTCGGCCTTCAGGCGCTGCGCGCACCGGTGCAGCGCGCTGCTGTTGCTGTCCGACGACCGGTCGCTGTCGTCGCTCGCCGCGGCCTCGCGGGACCGCTTCCTGCGCTCCGAGGCCGGCGGTGTGCTCGTCTCCGGCGTCGGCGCCGGTGCCGGAGTCTCGCCGGCGCCCTGCTCGGACGCAGTCCACGTGTTGCTCTGCACATGCGCGGCGACGCGCTGCGCGGCCTCCTCGGTCCGGTCGCAGGCGGCGGCGATCGCGGCCGTGCGCTGCGGGGCGGTGAGGGCGTTCGGGTTGAGCGGGACGGCGGCGGGGTCGCGCTCGAAGTTCCCACACAGGACGTTGTTCAGGTGTTGCTCGATGTCCTTGATTTCCTGTTCGCGGGCGCCCGCGGCGGCCTCGAGCTCCATGCGGAGGCCGTCGAGGGCGTGGCACCACTGTGCCTGCGATCGCGGGGGAGGGAGACGAGTTTGAACGAGTTTGAACTGATAATTCTACGGGCGACCCAGCAGCAGGCGTGCCCGCGCGCCGCGCACCATGCTGATGTCCAGCTCCGGGTTCGGGATCCCGAGCATCTGCGCGTCGAGCCGCGCGGTGTCCGACTGGCAGAACTCGAGCGCCGCGGCCCGCTCCTCGTCCAGGCGCCGCGCCTCCTCCGGCGACGCCGACACCCTCCGGCACGCCACCGTCGCCTCCAGCGCCCGCGGGTACAGCGGGTGGCAGTAGATCTGCCACTTCCACCGCGCCACCTGCAGACTCCCGGCCCCCGCGTGGTCTGCGGCTTCCGTGGCCGCCTGCACAGCACACCGCAGTCCAGGGACGTGCTGTCGGGCCGAAACACTGAGCAGAAGCGGCGGCGGGCGACCGCGGGGCGGGCGTGTCGAGCGAGCGGCGTGCGCGGGGCCTCAGGCAGGCGTCGAGTCGCATCGCCGCCTCGGCCGCGGTGCGGTCCGCTGCGGCGTCGGACGGCGTTCGAGGCGGGTGCGCGCGCGGCCCGGAGGTCGCTGAGGGCAGGGGCGGGGCGTACGTCGTGACCGGCGGCGCGCTCGGACGGCGCGGCGCGCTGGGAGCGGCGGGGAGCTGGCTTGCGGCGAGGTGTGTCCTGAACAGGCATCTCGGGGCGCCGGTGTGACGGTGCTTGGGGGGTGTTTGTGGTGTCAGGGCCGAGGGTGATGACTGGGGGCTGCTGGCCGCGCAAGGCTTTGAAGAGCGGGAGCGGCGACGGCCAGCGGAGGCTGCCTGACAGGGAGGTCATCCCCGAGGCAATGGCTGTCAGACCGAGCCCGGAGAGGGTCCATGACGTGCCGAGACCTGCGGACATAGATTGAGAGATGTTGAGTGACTGTAGCGTCGCGGTCTACTTCCTGGAGACCCAGTAGGTGCTCGAGTGTCGGGGCTTGAGCACGGGCAGCAACCAGCCGAAAGGCGTGGGCGAACACAGGGGATGGGGGTGTTTCAAACGGCTGTCCTGGCGCATTTTTGGCATTCTGAGTAAGTAGACGACCGGTGTGCGGCAGTGACTGGGCGAATGGCTTCTTTCGTACGCCCCGCGACGGTTCGCTAGTCGAGCGGGCGTGGCCGGTTAGCTCGGCTCTGGAAGTCGATGAACACGCAAACATCGCACCCTCCGTTTGTCTCATGCATATGTGTTCGAGTGGCACCATCGCTTTGCCCAACGTGCGCACGCAACGGGAGGACGCACGCACCCGAAGCTTGCTCAGAAAGATGCACCGTGGGCGCCATTGTAGAAACTGACGAGGAATCCTAGACACCTCACCATGCAGTAGATCATCAATTTTCACTTGACGCGTCGAATTGAGTCCAAATTAAGGACGCCAAGAGCCCCTGCGGCCCGTCCGACTCATTGCGGGAGACTCACGTCAAACGGCCCGCGCAGTGCTCCTTGGTGCGCCTGCTGACGCCCTGCGCCGCGCCCAGGGGCGCAGACAATGCGTGTGCAGGTGCACCACCACCCCGCGAGCGACCTGTGGCGGCGTGCGACCTCGGAGAGCCACACGGACCCACCTGCGCCCTTCCCGCGGCGAAGCGGGTCACGAGCCACGCCACGGGCGCTGTGGCCTGCTTCGCCCGGGTAGAGGCTCGCGATGGCGACGAGTGCGAAGTACAGCGCGCTAGAGACGGAGCAGGGCGGGCCTCAGGTGGGCCCTGCACGCGTCTCTGTGGCGTGACGATGGAAAAAGAACGCGCTACTGCGTGGTATTGCTGGTGATCGTGGCCCTCAAGCGCTGCACGATCGCGGAAAGCGGTCCATCGGCGGTCGAGCGGCGAGAGATCAATTTGTGGGGGCAGAGACGAGGCTGCGACGTTCCTGCGATCTCGCGACGTCATCTGGCGCTTGATACCTCCACGAGACACGTGTTGTGCCCTGCGCATTGCTTGCAGGGCGCACAGGCGTCAAGGAAGCCGCCCGTGGCAGGGGCTGCACAGCAAGGGGAGGGCGCGCGATGGTGCCCCGAGGAGGACGCCTCGCTGCTCAGCCGGCTCGGATTCTTCTACATGTGCGTGCTGCGAGCTGCCCACGCGCTGTCCTATCATCGCACTGCGCGGACTGCGACAGGCACCTAACGTTGCCGTAGTGGTGCCGGCAGCCTCCTGCCGCGTCGCCGTCGACGCCTCCTGCGCCTTGTTGTCCACCTTGCGAAGCCCCACGTCGGTTGATCCGATCGGCGATGCGTGGCAGTGCTCACGGCTCCCGCAACGCCGATGCGCGGCACATTCCACCCAGAAGAAAAGGTGGCCCTCTGTTGGTCGCAGGAACGGCCTCATGGCGAAGGGCTATGCACAGCCGCTCGAGATGGAGGACCTCTGGGACGTGGCGCACTGGGATTCCCCGGCGCCCGTCGCCGCGCAGTTCGAGCGCGCGCTGTCGTCCACGCGCACCCTCGCAGCCCCGTACGGACGCATCGCGCGGGGGCTGCTGGCCTTCCGGGGTCGCCGGTTCGCGTCTGCGGGCGCAATCAAGCTCGTCAACGACTTCGTGTCCCTCGGCGCGCCGTTCCTGCTGCAGCAGGAGCTCAAGGCCATCCAGGACGAACGTCCGACGCGCGTCGTGGTGGGCCTCGCGACCGCGATGCTGGCCGCCACGCTCCTGCAGACGCTCCTGATCAACCGGTACTTCCACATCGTGTTCCGCGTCGGCCTGCACACCAAAGTCGCCCTCGTCCACGCCCTCTACACAAAAAGGTGCGCCGCTGCCACCGCGGCAAACCCCCCCGCAGCGCGCCGCTCGGGAACTGCTGAGCCAGGCGTGCCTCGCTGCCCCGCCGTGCGCACGCCGGGCTTCCGCGCCCGTCCTCGATTCACCCCACCACGATGTGCTCGCACGTCGCATCGCAGCTTGCGCGTGAGCGGCGGGGTCCGCGCCGCGTTCGGCACGGGCCGCATCGTCAACCTGCAGTCAAACGACGCGCAGAAGATCTGGAGCCTGCCCACGTGAGTCCCTGAGCCATCAACACCCCCCCAAAAACGATCAGATCTTTTTCGCGCGGCCGCTGCACCCCGCGCCAGACGCACCCGCTCCACCCGGAGCACGACGATCCAGCGCGTGTCGTCCTTCACCCGCGCTGCAGGTACCTGCACATGCTGTGGTCTGGCCCCCTCCAGATCGTCCTCATTACGACGCTGCTGGCGCGCATCGTGACGCCCGTGCCGGCGCTCGCGGGGCTGCTGTCGACGGTCGCGGTGATCCCGCTCAACATCCTCGTCGGCAAGCGGCTCGTGAAGATCCGCGCCGAGCTCGTGAAACAGACCGACAGGCGGGTGAAGCTCGTCACCGAAGTCATCACCGGTGCGCAGGCAGACCGCGCGTTCTGTCCTGCCTGGACCCCCGCCTACAAGCGTCGCCCGCACGCCAACGTCCTGCCCACGCACTGCCGTCCGGAAGCATGCCGCGGCCTGCGACGCAGCCATTGCGTTGGACCCCGCTCGACGCGCGTTCTCTGTGTTGTGTTGCGCCGGATGCAGGGATCAAGCAGATCAAGCTGTACGCGTGGGAGGGCCCGTACGTCGACCGCATCCGGGCGCTGCGCGCGCAGGAGCTGGCCAGTTTGTTCAAGTCGAACATGACGTCGCTGATAAACACCATCATCTCGCTCTCCGCGCCGATCCTGGTCTCGATCGTCACGTTCGCGGTCTACATCATGCGCGGGAACGAGCTCACCGCGGACATCGCGTTCCCCGCCCTCGCGCTCTTCAACCAATTGAGATTTCCCATCCAGGTTCTCCCGAATCAGATCAACAACCTCATCAACGCCACCGTGGCGCTGCGGAGGATGCAGGTACCCACCGCACGCTCCGTCTCCAGTCACCACACGCGTCGGTACAGCCTGATATCAAGTTTCGTGCGAGGCAGTCGCCAAAACCCGACTCCTGGTTTGCAACCACCGTGCAGGAGTTCCTGGGCGCGGAGGAGCTCGCCGTGCGCGGCTGCGACGAGCAGCGCGCCCGCGGCCGCGCGCCGCCGCCCCCCACGATCGACGAGGACGCCCCCCTCCCTCCGCCGCCGCCGCCCTCCTGCCCCGCGTGCATCGACGACCCCAGCGTCGCCGCGTCGTTCAAAAACGCCGTCTTCCGGTGGCCGACCGTCCCGGAGCCTGCGTCGGCGGCTGTGGCGCGCAAGGACGACGCGGCGCGCGCCCCGACGCCGGGCGCGTCCCAGAGGGGCAATGCGTTCACGTTGGACGTGGCAGACTTGAAGGTGCAACGCGGGGACCTGGTCATGGTCGTGGGGCAGGTCGGGAGCGGCAAGTCGTCGCTGCTGTACGCGCTGCTTGGGGAGATGGAGCGCGCGCAGGGCCGCGCGGGCGTGCGGGGCCAGTCAGTGGCGTATACTGCACAGGACCCTTGGATTCAGAACATGAGCCTGCGCGAGAACGTGCTGATGGCGGGGCCTGGCGGGCTGGCGGGGGGGCGCGTGGACGAGGAGAGGTACGCGGAGGTGCTGGAGGCGTGCGCGATGATGCCGGACCTGGACGTGTTGCCGGCGGGCGACTTGACGGAGATCGGCGAGAAGGGGATCAATCTGTCGGGCGGGCAGCGCCACCGGATAGCGCTCGCGCGCGCCGCGTACTCGGAGGCGGAGACGTTCCTGCTGGTGAGGCCTGCCGCGAGCACTGCGGAGCGTCGCAACACTCTTCCGCGTGACAGCACACATGCGCCATGCACATTTTACTCCTGCATCGATTCCTGCTTTGTCGCGAGCACTGCGGAGCTCGCAGCCTCACTGGACCGGTCTGTCCCGTGGGCGCAGGACGACCCGCTGAGCGCCGTGGACGCGCACGTTGGCACGCACATCTTTGAGAAGTGCATCCGGGGGTACCTGGCGGGGAAGACGCGCATCCTGGTGACGCACCAGCTGCAGTACCTCAAGGGTGCGGACATGATCGTGGTCATGGAGGGGGGCCGCGTGACGCACACAGGCACCTACCGCGACCTCATCAACAGGGGCGTGAAGTTCGCGCTGTTCGAGAACGAGAGCAAGCACGAGGACCACGAGGCCGAGACGCCGCAGGAGCGCGGTGCGGGCGGCCAGAGCGCCGGCGAAAAGCTCAACAGGCGCGAGCTGTCGGCGCGCGTGCTGAAGAAGCGCGCGGAGAAGACGGGGGGCGCGGACGGCGCGGACGGACGGCTGACGCGCGCGGAGGCGCGCAGCAAGGGCTCGGTGAAGCGCACGGTGTACGCGCAGTATCTCCTGGCGTGGGGCCCCGCGCTGGTATTCCCGCTGCTCACAATCGCGCTGGCGCTCGCGGAGCGCGGCACGCAGCTCGCGCAGCAGTTCTGGCTGTCAGACTGGGCCAACGACACCCTCGAGTCATCGACGAGCGTCGACGCGGGCGAGGTGCGCGTCACACTCACCTCCCGCGCGCCCCCTGCGCCGGTCGAGCGACTCGCATCGAACGCGTGCCAGCCCTCACCTCGCTCTCCGCCCTCCCCACTGTCTCGCAGGCGCCGTTAGACTCCAAGCGCTATCTCCTCATCTACGCGATCATCGGGTTTGCAGTCATTGGCATCGCGGCGCCGCGGTCGGTCGCGATCGCGTGGGGTTCGAACAACGCGTCGCGAAACCTGCACAACCACCTCCTGGAGCGCGTCGCGCGCTTCCCGATGTCGTTCTTCGACTCGCAGCCCTCCGGGCGCCTGATCAACCGGTTCACGAAGGACCTGGAGGCCGTGGACTCGCAGCTGGCGTACAGCGTGTCGTCGCTCGTGACGTTCGGCGTGTCCGTGCTCGGGGCCTTCGCCGTCATGATCGGCATCTCGCCCGTCGTCATCGTCGCGATCTTCCTCCTCGGAGCTGTGTACCTGCACATCCAGAAAATATACCTGCGCACGTCGCGGGAAGTCAAGGTGCGACCCCACTGCAATGCTGTTGTTCTGCTCTGCAACAGCGGCCACGTCGCGCGGTCCGATGCCTGAGAAAGTTCGCTTCCCTCCCTGCAGCGCTTGGACTCGATCGCCACGTCCCCGATTTTCGGCCACTTCAAGGAGACGCTCGAGGGCATCACGACGATTCGCGCCTTCTTCCGGCAGCCGGCGTTCCTGGACACGAACCTCCGCCTCCTCGCCCGCTCGGTCAGGGCCTCGTGGCCGCAGACATCCTCGAACCGGTATCTCTCTGTGCGGCTCGAATCCCTGGGCCACGGCGTGGTGTACGCGGCGACGCTCGCCGTCGTCGCTATCCAGCCGAAGAACTCGGCCCTCGTCGGCCTCGTCATCTCCTCCGCCCTCAACCTCACCGGCACCCTCGCGTGGCTCGTCCGCGTCGCGACCGACCTCGAGGTCAACATGAACGCCGTCGAGCGCCTCTTCGAGTACGACGACGAGGAGCTCGAGGCCCCGGAGGTCATCGAGACCAGCCGCCCGCCCGCGACGTGGCCGCACGCCGGCGCCGTCGTCGCGAAGGGGCTGCAGGTGCGGTACCGCAAGGAGCTGGGGCTGGTGCTCAAGGGCCTGAGCTTCGACATCGCGGCGAAGGAGAAGATCGGCGTGTGCGGGCGGACGGGGTGCGGGAAGTCGACGCTGATGCTCGCGATGTTCCGCATCGTCGAGCCGTGCGGGGGGAGTCTCATGATCGACGGGGTCGACGTGCAGTCGATCGGGCTGTTCGACCTGCGGAGCAAGATGGCGCTCGTGCCGCAGGACCCGGTCATCTTCTCGGGCACGTACCGGTCGAACCTGGACCCGTTCGGCGCCGTCGAGAACGACAGGGACATCTGGGAGGCTTTGCGGCGCGCACACCTCGCGGACTTCGGTGCGGACGACGCCCCCCTGCCTTGACTGGGCTTGGCTTGATTTGACTTGACTTGACCTCCTGCCGCCCGAAAGGGAGACGTGCCCTGGTTGACTGCATCGCTTTGTTCGGTAGGTTGGTTCGGTTATCGAGCGGCATGGTGTTGTTGTACTGCAGTGTCGGCGTCGGACGGAGGCCTGGACGCGCCCGTGTCCGAGGGCGGCACCAACATGAGCGTCGGGCAGCGGCAGCTGCTGTGCATGGCGCGCGCGCTGCTGCGCAAGGCCCGCATCCTGCTCCTGGACGAGGCCACGTCCAACGTCGACAACGCCACGGACAGCGTCATCCAGGACACCATCCGGACGGCGTTCGTGGACTGCACCGTGCTCACCATCGCGCACCGGCTGCACACCATCATCGACGCGGACCGCATCATGCTTCTCGAGCGGGTGCGCGTGCGCCGCTGCTCAACCTCTGCCGATGGTGCATCTCGTGTTTGCGCGCCCGGGTCTGACCGATCGCGCCGGCCCGCTGGGTCCGCAGGGGGAGATCCTAGAGATGGACCGGCCCGGCGCGCTGCTGCAGCGCCCGGATTCGGCGTTCGGGCGGCTGGTGGACGGCACGAGCAAGGGCGCCGCGGCGGCGCTGCGGAGCATCGCCTCAGGCAGCGGGCACGCGGGCCGCGCCGGCGTGAGCGCCGACGACGGTGCGGCGCCCGACCTCATCTAGGCGGTCGTGGCCGTCGCGTGCGGCCAGCGGCGGCGCAGCCTGCGCGCTGCGTGACTGGTTCGGCGGGCGTGACGTGGGCACGGGGTCGCGTGGATGCATAGCGCCGGATCACAAGCAGATCCTGGAGCGCGTTCGTCCTGGGTTCGGGAGATATGTGCACCGCTTCGGCAGCAGTTGTCTTGTGTGAGCACCGACGGAGCCCACGGCGGTGGGGGTCCGCATTGTCGCACTTACTGGGTCTTGTTGCCCTTCTGCTTCGAGTACTGCGTCGACGTGGTCACGAGCACCTTGCGCCCCCTCGCACGCCGCGCCTTGAGCACCTTGCGCCCCGTCTTGGACTTCATCCTCGCACGGAAACCTGCGCGGGAATGGGAGGCAGCGGCGCGGCGTGCTCGGTCACCACGCAGCGGGGCTCGAGGTGCCGCGGGCCGACGGCGCCCGCGCGGCCCATCGCCGGTGCGCAGGGGCGGTGCACGCACGCCACCACCTGAGCAGCGGTGCCTGTGGTGCCGGCGCAGGGCGGACAGGGTCGCGCGGGTGGACCGGTCGGTGGAGGGCGCAGCTGCCGCTCCGTCGCGGGGAAATCAGCGCGTGGCGGACTCGCTGGGGCGCGCAGGAGCCGCGTTCGTGCTCCAGGAGGGGATGGGTCAGCGTTGCGCGCTTCTCCAGGGGCGATGGCGGCGGTTCGACGATATCCAGGCGCGAGATTGGATCATCGGGCGCAGTGCGTGCGAGAATCACCGCGTGTACGCCGCCCTCGGGGTCCGCCGGACGAGATAAACGAACTTTACGAGCGTGGGCGGCTGCGGGCGGAGACGCCTGGCGGGCCCCGGACTGCATGCTGCGTCGCGACTCACCCGAAACCCGCGCCACCTTCCTCGCCGAGCCGAACTTGGTGCACCCCAGGCTGCGGCCACCACAGGTCACCAGCAGCGCTCCGCGCGACGCCGTCTGCGTCCCCGAGACCGTGCTGACAATCCCGCCGGCGAGAGTCGAACGGAAACCCTTGACATCCGCGCCCGCGAACGCGTTGCTCAGGAGCGCCGGCCGGGCAGCTGGCCGGGGCGCCTGAACCGGCTTGGTGGCGGGCACAGATCGCAGGACAGCGCGCGAAAACATCTTGCGAGCGATTCGGAGCCGTGTATGTGGGCCATGCGACGCGCGGAGGACGCCAACGAGCCCACTGGGCCTTACGGGGCTTCCCGGTGATCCTGTGCAAGTGGTCAGTTAGACACCCCCACAGCGGCCCCCGGGGTCGGTCAAGATGAGCGGGCGTGGGCGCGTCGCGCGTCACAGTACCTGGGCGACGTGTACGTAGCATCACGAGCGTTCGGAGGTCCGGTGCGTGCGGCGGTTGACGTTATAGCTTTCCCTGGGCCTCGCGGGGGCCAGGCTGAGGGGCTAGGAGATGGCGCGGTATAGATAGCTCTAGCGGTCATGACCTGGTTTAAGAAGAAAGACAAGGCGAAGGCCGGGGAGTCGAAGGACGAGGGCAAGGCCACCAGGCAAGCTGCTCGGCCTCGTCGCCCTGCGACACGCCCCTCACGCGGGCGTGACGAGCGCGCGTTGAAGATTTCCACCCAGAGTCCACGTTCTTTAGCGGGGATTGCGCTCCGTGTCGCACGAACCGGCGCCACAGCGCGCATGGGTCCCTCGGGCATCGAGCGATGGCTGTCGCGCCGTGCGAAAACGCCGTCGCCACGCGGCGGAGCCTGTCCTCCTTCCTTTGACCAGGCGCCTCACGCGCTCGGCGAAATGGCTGCCCCGCCAGGCGCGCCGGACGGCGCGCTCAGACAGCTGCAGTCATCGCGCCGCGCTGGCGAAGTTCCGCGCCGCGGCAGGCCGCAGATCTGCGCACCGCCGCCTCACACCCGCCCTGCCGCCCCAGCCACGGCGAAATCCGCCCGCTTACCCCGCGGATTTCGACGTGCGGCGCTGCCCTGACCTCCGTGCCAGCCCAGGCTGTTTCTCGCCGCAGCCCGCGCACCGCCGCAGCAGCCGCCCCCCGCGCCGGCCCGAGGCCGATGTGTGCTGCTTGGCCACGCCGCGCCGCACGTATGCGGCGGGAAGCGCGGTCCCTGAGCCGTCGTGCGCCCCCTGTTTCGTGCGCGCAGCCGGGGCGCCCAAAACAAGGGGCTGTCGCTCCCGCCGGATCTGGATCCCTCGAATGCCGGCGCGATCTACTCCTCTGCGCTCCTCAAAGGGCAGTTCGGGCCGCTCACGGCCGCGGAGTACAAGCAGCGGCTCACGACGTCCGGCGGGGTGCGCTCGTGGTACCTCCCCAACGCCGGGTACACCGTCAAGTACGCGTACGTCAGCCAGCGCGGGCTGTACCCGGACAAGCTCGACAAGGCCAACCAGGACGCGCTGTGCGCGCACGTCAACTTCGCTGACGACGGCGACCAGCTTCTCTTCGGGGTCTTCGACGGCCACGGGGAGCACGGGACGCCGTGCGCGCAGTACGCCATGCAGCGCGTCCCGATGCTCATGAAGCAGGTGCGCGCGCGCACGCGCCCCCGCCGCTCCTCACGCCCACGGCGCCCCTCTGCCCCCCCACCCATCCGAGCCACGCCCGGCGCCGCTCGCCTCGCTCGCCCTCCCACGCGGACAACCGCGCCCCCCCCCGCGCCCGCGCAGGACCCGGAGCTGAGCAAGAACCCGCACGTGGCGTTTTTCAACGCGTTCGTGAACGCGAACGAGCAGATGCACCAGTCCAACATCGACGACACCATGTCCGGCACGACGGGCATCTGCGTGCTCGTCCGCGGGCGCCGCATCTACGTCGCGAACGTCGGGGACTCGCGCGCGATCATCAGCGAGCAGCGCCCCGACGGCACGCACGGCGCGCAGGACCTCTCGTCGGACCAGACGCCCTTTCGGCGCGACGAGATCGACCGCGTGCGGCAGTGCGGCGCCGTCGTGCTCACGCTCGACCAGCTCGAGGGCATCAAGGACCCCACGATCGACACGTGGACCAACGAGTACGAGGACGACGGCGACCCCCCGCGGCTGTGGCTCCCGCACTCGATGTACCCGGGCACGGCCTTCACGCGGTCCCTCGGCGACGCCATCGCGGAGCGCATCGGCGTGTTCGCGGAGCCGGAGGTGCTCATCAAGAAGCTGACGCCGCGCAACAAGCTGGTGATCATCGCCTCGGACGGCGTGTTTGAGTTTTTGCCGTCGCAGTCGGTGATCGACATGGCGACCAAGTTCGCCGACCCCGAGGAGGCGGCGCTGTCGATCGTCGCGGAGTCGTACCGCCTGTGGCTGCAGCACGAGACGCGCACCGACGACATCACCATCATCGTGCTGCAGATCGAGGGCCTCGTCGACGACGGCGCCGAGGAGGACGACGTGATCGTGACCAACCAGACCGTGCACGGCGGGGACGCCGCGCTCGGCCTCCTCGAGCCCGCGTTCCCGCCCGTGCTCGGCAGCGCGGGCGAGGAGCTCACCGTCGACGTGCAGGCGCTGCGGTCGAGCCGCACCGAGAGCGAGGTCGACATGCTCGAGGGGCTCACGCGCGGGAACTTCGTGCTCGCGGCGCTGTCGCCCGAGGAGCGCGAGGCCGTGTACAGCGTCGTGCAGCGGCAGAGGGTCAAGGCGGGCGAGGCGGTGATCAACCAGGGCGGCATCGGGGACTGCTTCTACGTGGTCAAGAGCGGGGAGTTCGACGTGTACGTGTCGCCGGCGCCCGGGGAGGAGCCCGAGAAGGTGTACACGTACCTCGTCGACGGCGGCGAGCACCCGTCGTTCGGCGAGCTGGGCCTCCTGTACGGGAAGCCGCGCGCCGCCATGGTGGTGGCGGCGACGGAGGGGGAGCTGCTGTACCTGCAGCGCGCGGCGTTCAAGGCGGTGCTCGCGTCGCTGGACCTCGGCCCGGTCCTCCAGGCGCTGCGGAAGGTCGACCTGCTGTCGTGCCTGATGCCGTGCGAGGTGCAGCTGCTGGCCGACCTTATGCAGAGCCGGACGTTCGAGCCGGGGCAGGCGATCGTGCGGCAGGGCGAGGTCGGGGACTCGTTCAGCATCATCCTGGACGGCGAGGTCGCGGTGACCGTGGCGCGGAACGCGAACGAGGAGCCGAAGCAGGTGCTGACGATGGGGCGCTTCCAGTACTTCGGCGAGCGCGCGCTGCTGCAGGAGAGCAAGCGCGCGGCGAACGTGATCGCGGTGAACAGCGTGACGGTGCTCGAGGTGTCGCGCGCGGACGTGGAGGAGCACCTCGGGCCGCTCAAGGCCATGGCCGAGCAGCACAAGCGGTGGCAGGCGGCGGTGGCGGCGGCGGCGAAGAAGGTCCCGGGGCCGCCGCCGACGCCGCTCACGGCCGAGTCGCTGAGCGCGCACGGGACGCTGTGGGCGTACGGCGACATGGCGGTGCGGCGGTACGAGCAGCCGGGGACGGGGAGCGCCTACCTGGTGCGCGCGACGGCGATGCCGGCGGGGTTCGTGCAGGTGCCGGTGCTCAAGGGGCGCGACGCGCACCAGGCGGTGCCCGTCACGGCGCTGGTGCCGCGGGAGGTGGCGGTGCTGAAGACGTCGCGGGCGGTGATGGAGGTGGTGGACGCGCGGCCGCTGTGCACGCTGCAGCAGCTGGCGCAGCAGCAGCCGCAGCAGCGGTTCGACGAGAAGACGGTGCAGTACGTCGCGGCGTCGCTGGTGACGGCGCTGGAGAGCTGCCACCGGTGCGGGGTGGTGTACCGCGGCCTGTCGACCGACACGGTGGTGGTGTCCGAGGAGGGCGTGGTGCAGCTGTGCGAGTTCCGGCACGCGAAGCGCATCCACGGGCGCACGTACACGATGTGCGGCTCGCCGGAGTTCATGGCGCCGGAGATGCTGGAGATGCGCGGGCACACGGAGGCAGTCGACTGGTGGGCGCTGGGCGTGCTGGTCTTCTGCATGACGGCCGGCACCTCGCCCTTCCTGCACGACACCGAGGACGAGCTCCAGCTGTACTACAACATCATCGAGGGCAGCATGCTCTTCCCCCCGGCCTTCCCCGCCGTCACGCGCACGCTCGTCGAGGGCCTCATGCAGATGGACCCCGTGCAGCGGCTCGGCCACGGCAACCTCGGGCACCAGGCGCTCAAGCAGCACAAGTTCTTCGACGGCGTGGACTGGGAGAAGATCGCCGAGGGCACGCACCCGCTCCCTGCGGACCTCTTTCGCGCCATGGAGGACTTCACGGGGCTCGCGGGGTCGGCGCGGCAAGCGGGCGAGAGCGGCGGACATTTTGTCATCTGAGCGCGACGCACAACGCACACCGCCCGCGCGCCGGTACTGCGTGCAGCGCGCCGCTGCTGGCGCTCTCTGCGCTGCCTAGCATGCACGACATTACGCCACACGCACGCACGGACGCCGCGCCGGATACTGGCCAGATCACACCCTTCTTGCGGTGCCGTGCCTCCCGATCAACTCTATGGGCGCACTCGGGCCGCAATGGGTCCCTAGCTGGTTGCGGCGCTGCTCTTCCTGAGGGAGTTGTCCCCCGGGCAGCACCGTCCTGCCGCCCCTCCTGTGCGCCCCTCGCAGCAAACACCTTTCTTGTTTCCCCTCCCCCCCCCTTCTCCCTCCCCTCCAAGATCACCCAGCTCTGTTCGAAAGAAGACACGACACGCGCGACTGGAGGGAGCGTGCGCAGTTGTCTTGCGCGCCGGCGAGCGCGTCCTCGATGCGCACACCGCAGTCACATCGCACATTGTGAGTCACATCAGTGCCACCGCCAGCGCCCGGTCCGAACCGCGCCGCTTGCTCTCTGTCTCGTCACCAGCCCGCACAGGCCCCATCCGAGGACGCGCACAGCCGGTCCGAGCCAGCGCTGGCCGCGGTGATGCATCTCAGCCCTCGAAGGGCACGATGCCCTCCCCGGGCAGCCCCAGCACGTGCATGCTCTGGTGCAGCAGCGACGGCACTGCCTCCAACCATGATGGCCTGCAGGCATGGCGGTCGACGCTCCACCGCTGCAGGGCGCGCGTCCGCGCCGCACGCATCGCAAGCTCGCGCGACTTCGCCCCGGATCGCGCCTGTCCGCTGCCCGTGTCGTTGCCGCGGGGTGGTGACGCTATCCCAGTGTCATCATGGAGGCGGGCTGCGAGCTGCCGGCCCCCCCACCACGCCCCGTCCGCCATGCGCACGGCCCTCGCTGCACCTTCAGGATACCTGCAATCAAGCGTGCGTCGCCGGCGGGGAACGCGGTTGTGCCCATTCGGTGCGTCAGCACACTGCGCTGGGGTCTGGCCGGGCGGCGTGAACGTCTCGGTGATGCGACGAACCTGAAAACTATGCGCACGCTGCCAGAGAACTCTCCGCGATGCCGGCCGTGCGGATGCTGCACCAAACTCAGCTCCTCGATGGGACCTGCCAGCAAGAAGAGCTCCGTGAACACCACGCGCCTCTGCAAGCACCGACGCCGTCGTCACTCGCGCGTTCTGACGTTCTGAAGCCCCGGGGCCTCGCAGCCGAACAGCGTCTTCCCCGGCGCGCGTGCGGCGCAGAACGACGGCGACGGCGGTGCACAAACCACGCACCTGGTCGAACGTCTTTTCCTTCATGAACGGCAGCCCCGTGCACCAGACCTCGCGTCCCTCGGGGGACGGGTGCGGCGCTTCGAAGTCCGCGGGGTCGGCGCACAACCTGATCATCTTACCGTGCAGGATGGTGTTCCATAGATGCCGCAGGGCGTACACCGCGGCGGCCTCGTCCGCCATCTTCACGGACGCCACTCCCGCTGGCTTCCCGTTGGCGTCCCGGACGATGTATACCGACTCCACCTGCCCCGCGCGCCTGCGTCGCAAGACATGCAAGCCTGGTGTGTGTTGCGCGTCATGCTGCGTCGGAGCCCGGGGGTGGCGCGACTGTCCACAGCCCGTGCAAGGCGCCGATATATGAGCGGGAGCGGGGGGCATTGACAAATGGACCTCACTGGCTCTTTGGACGCGACAGAAAGCGCTGAACACGAGTTGTGGATGATCGAGTGCGGAGACGCGAAACACGCACCTGAACACCCGGTACAGGTCGTCCTCGGTGCAGTCCCATGACAGCCTGTGCACCGCGAGCCTACGTCCGACCCGCTTCCCCGCGGGGCGGACAGTGGGATCGACGCGTTTCCTTGGCAGGCGTGGAGGCACCCGCACGTGCTGCGAGCACCAGACAGAACAAGGGAGGGGGGTCAAGGAGAGCCGGAGGAGATGCAGCGGCAGGCACACGCGTTGCGGCGCGCAGGACCCCCCGTGCGTGCTTGGAGGGCGTCGGAGCTGGCTTACGTCATCCTCAGGGGACCGCGGCGTCGCGTGCGCGGTGCAGATGTGCCTGGCTGCTGTACCGCGCTGGACAGCGAGCCACCGCGTGTGTGCAGCCGGGGCCTGCTCGCCCGACGCTCCTGCGCGCATTCCGGCCCGAAACGCGGTGCGGGGGTGGGGGGTCTCAGTCATGGGGAGTTGAGGCTGAGTCAGGGTGTGGCAGGCGCGTCGCCAGGCCCAGCGACCGCCGCGAGGCTTCGCACGCACCGGTCGGCGCCCGCGGCGTTCCGCCCGCGCTGGCACCATGGTGCGACCGGCCAGGCAGCAGGACTGTGCACCAGCTCCGCTGCGACTGCAGAGCCCTGGCCCACGTCGCTACTCCGCCGAGGATGCAAGTATGGATGGATCTGGGACTGAGGATGCCCGCCATCGCGTGCGTTGACTGGCAGCGCCGCGGTGCGGCGGCAGCGCAAGCGTAGGGCTCTAGACCGTGGTGCTGATAGGTCGTGCACAGGCGCGCCGCGCGGGTCTACGGACGCATCGAGGGGACGCGTCTACGGAGCATGCTGTCAACAGCGATGACGGGCAAGGTGAGGGCTGGTACAGGGGCGATGGGGCGTAAACCACTCTGCACTGAACTCGGCACAAGTATGTGCCTCTTATGTCTGAATCAAGGTCCACAGGGTTGTGTACGGCTGGACAAGGGTGGTGTCTCGCCGTGTCGTCACAACAAAGGGCTCCCAGGCGCTCACAACCGCTGTCAGGCCGCAAAGAGGAGTCCACACCACCCAGGTTGTACCTGCCCCTGGCTCCTTCACCGCGCGTTGCCAGCGACTGCCGGCACTCTGTGAGCTGCCATGGGGGGACGGAGACTGCAGCAGGTCATTGCACGGGCGTGCACGGGCCTCGTGCGGGGCGCAGCGGAGGCCAGTAGGGCAGGGGCAGGAACCAGCGCCGCAGCCGAGCCCCCATGCGTCCGACGGTGGGTGTGTACCACCGCCCAGCTGCGCTCGCAGAACCCGTCGGATCGGAGAGGTACCCGTGACAAGAAACACCGCCGCCAGGGCAAGGTGAGCCCGCTCTAGCTCTGCGTGCTGCCTCTCCGCGCGGGTGGCTCCAGCGAGGCCACGTCGATGCTTGGGCGCGCAGCTCAGAAGAAAGTTCGAGAGGCAAACTTGAACTGGGGATCGCTAGAACGTACGCAGCGGAACGATCCGCGCGCGCAAGCCTTGCGCCCAGCACCAGCGCGACCTGTGCGGGCCGTGCGCGCTCGCGTGCGATTCAGCGCGGCTCCGAGGCTTGCTGCCACTGTCAGCGGCGCGGCCAGCGCATCGAAGTGCGGAATGCGACCAGCAGTGCCACCGCCCGCCTGCTTTCCGCACTCCACCTGTGCTCTCTGTGCCTCACGGCCCCGCCCGTCCCGCCCCGGTCTGCAGCCCGAACCCATCCACACGCCGACGGTCGACGAGCAGGAGGGCGCCGCAGAGGCGGACCCCCCCCAGGAGGCCTTTTTCCACCGCTTCGAGGACGACGACGCGTACGACGTGCCGCGCCCGGTGCTCTCCACGCGCCGCGTGTCCGCGATGAGCGCCGAGGACATCGGCACGTACTTCAAGGTCGACGCCGCGACCTTCCCCGAGGGCCTGGCGCGCGGCGTTCTGCAGGAGTTCCAGGCCACCGGCGACCTGGGCCCGCGCAAGGGCGCGGAAGATGACAAGGAGTCCGGGCGGGCGCAGCACGGGCACGGACACGGACACGCGCCCGGGGGGCACCTGATGCTGCGGAGCGTGACGCAGCGGGCGATCGACAGGCTGAAGGGGGTGTCGAGCGGGGCGGGGGGGGTGTCTATCTTCCTGGATGGCATGCAGGGGTCCGGGAAGAGCTGCGTGCTGGCGAGCTGCGTGCAGTGGGCGCGGGAGAAGGAGTGGATCACGTGGAACGTGCCCGACGCGGCGGTGATGACCGAGGGGGGGCGCTTCCACAAGCACGAGGGGAGTGGGCTGTTTGACACCCCCAACGCGGCGCAGGCGATGATGCAGGGCCTCCTGGACGCAAACGGCGACCTGCTGAAGGAGGTGAAGTGCGCCAAGGTAGGCACGGGCGCCGGCGATCAAGCGCGAATCGTGCGCGGCGCAAGGCCGCTGCGGGCCGTGTGGACATTGCGCGGCATGTTTTTGACCACTCGCAGGCGTCCGAGCACGGGCATGGCACGCTGCACGACATCGTACTGGCGGGTGCGAGCCTTACGGGCGAGGCGACGGGCGCAGTGGACCTGTGCTTGGCGGCGCTTGATGAAATATCACACCAGGATCAAAAGGAAGTTCTTATTGCCATCGACAACTACTCGGCACTCTACTTCCTCACGGGCTTCGGTGCGCGCCTCGCCCTCGCTCTGCTCGCATGCCCGCTCGCCGTCGCGGCACCCACGACACGGCGAACTCCCCCCGCCTCTGACGCTTGTGTCTGCAGGCGAGTGGACGTCCATCAAGGCGCGGCGGCCGATCGCGCCGCACGAGCTGCGCCTGGGCCAGGCGATGCGGCTCCTCGAGGGCAAGCCGCCGAAGCGCGGCGCGGTCGTGGCGGCGACGCACAAGGGCGGGCGGGTCACGCCGAAGCTCAACATCCCCCACCCGCAGCGCAGCCGCGTCGAGGTGCCGCGCATGTCGCGCGACGAGGCCGTCAGCGCGCTGTTCCGGTACCTGCAGTCGGGAGCAATAGACCCCCCCCAGCAGCCCAGCGCTGGCGAGCTCGACCTCATGAACGCGCTCACGTGCGGGAACTGGGCCGAATTCCGCTTCCACGTCCCCGCGTGGCGGCTCTGGGCCAGCCGCGTCGGGCCCGAGGGCGAGGTCGTCGCGTTCGACCACCGCGGCCGCTCGCTGTGACACGCCCATCACGGCGGCATCTCGCCCGTCTCCAGCCAGCGCTGCGCGTCGGCACCGCACTGCTCGCGCACCGTCGCGTGGTGCCGCTCCACCTGCTCCTGCGTGAACACCCCCCGCCACCGGCCGTTCTCTCCCTTGTTGATGAAAATCTGCCCGCCTGTGCGGCTCGCACCGCTCTGGCCCAGGGGGGCCTGCGCCGCGGAGGGCTCCCACAGCGCCCCCTGCGCCGGCGCGTACTTCTCCGCGTCGCGCTTCATGGCGTCGAACGTGCACTTGGCCGCCAGGCCCGGCCAGGCGTCCTCGGGGATCGCGTCCGACACGCCCAGGAAGCGCGCCACCTTGCGCATGGAGCCCTCGAGGTCGGCCTTGAGGTTGTTGAAGTGCAGGAACTGCAAACAACGTGGCGACGACGCTGCGCTCGGGCGTGCACCAGGGCACGGTCCACGGCGCGGCGTCCACCTCCCCGCACTGCGGACGGCGCTCGTCGCGCCCACCTTGAGCACGGCACGCGGGCGACGGGCAGTGGCGCACCAGCACGTTGTCGCGGTGCCGCAGGGGCCACCACGTCCTGAGGTGGTGCGTGGCGCTCCAGCACGGCCAGCCGTCGACCTCCCACGGCTGCTGGTCCCACCCCCGCGTGATCCACCGCTCGAACAGCCCCCGCTCGCCGCCCAGCTCCTCGAACGTGACGTCGAAGCGAGGGTAGGGCGGACCCTCGAGGCCCTCCGAGTTGAGCATGTCGTACGCGGCGTCGTTGAAGTGCCGCCAGTGGTTGAGCCAGCTGAAGAAGACGTCGGGGCCGTCGCGGCAGACCAGAATGTATTTCACGCCGTCGTATACCGGTATCCCGTCTGCCGGGAGGTGGCTCTTGAGATAGCGCGGAGTCGTCAGGCTGCGGAGCATCTCGACCTTCTGCGCTCGCGCGGGAAAGCGCAGGTCGACCCACGGAGACACCTCGTCGAGGCTGTCCTCCTCGCTGGCCTTGCCAGCTGCGGCGAGGATCACCTGCACGCAGCGCTGCGTCCAGGTCGTGCCCGCCTGCAGTCGAGCGCACCGAATACATGCCTGTTCCGGCCTTGCGCTCGCTTAGTGCGTCCTGGGCGCGTCGCGGCGCTCCATCACAACTACCTTGTAGCTGGTGGTGATGACGACGTCGCCCTCGCTCGGAACGAACTCATCCCAGATGGTGCTGTCGAAGTGGTGCGACTTGTACACGCGCGTCACCTCGTTGACGCGTTTCATCTCGCCTCCCACAGACGGACAGCCTGGTGCATGTGGCAAGGCGCGCCGCCTGGGTCGCCAGGTCCTCGAAACGGATCAAAATGGCTTCGATCGATCGGCAACAGCTCGGATAGCTGACTGTTGCGTGTTTCGAGGACGGCAATCAAGCCCCACGTCATCCTCGGGTGCTGGAAGACGGACACCTACGGGGACACTGCGGGGGTGTTCGCGCCGGCGAGGGTCGACAGGGGCTGTCGTTGCCGTCCGCCGCGACACTGGTGCAACGCCCACACCAACCTGTGGGGCAACGGGAATCAGGAGGACATCGGCGCGTCCGAGATTGGCGGGAAGCGACTCACGTTTCGCGACTGGTGTGGTGCGACGCCGGGCAGTAGGGGCACCACAAGGACGACATGTTCAGTACATGCTCTTAGCATCGAGCGACCGAGTCTCGACGACGGGCGTTGCCGCAACGGCGTGGTGCGCGTTGCCTAGCAGAGACCAGGGCACGGCCGAACACGCGGCATGAGGGTGCTTGAAAGCGGCTTTCGCCTATTCAGGGTCTTTTTCGGAAGACTGAGGAAGCGTGGTCAGCCATCTTGTGCCCCGAGTATAACAGGATGCGTCGCGGCAGCGCTAGGTGAGCAGCGCGGGCCTTCAGGGCACCTGACACGTTCCATTCGCCCCCACCGTGCGCGGATCCCGAAGTCCGCAGCTCGGCCAGGAGCAGGCGCCGTGTCTGAATCTCCGGAGCACCAACCTCTACATTTGAGCCGCAGGGGTGGGCGTCGTGCTTCTTCTTCTCATGTTGCTGCGCGGGGACGAGGCGGACCGGTCCGTGTTCAGGGCCAAGTCGATCGAGATCCGCGCGAGCGGGCCGTTCACGGTGAACGAGACGGCGGTGTGTCTCGCGGGCACGCTGCGCACCTTCGTCTTCCGGGGGGTGTACATGGATTTGGCGCAAACGGTGATTGAGCCGCTGCAGGCAGACGTGTTCGTCGACGTCGAACTCGACCTGCTGGAGTTCGGCCGGGACACCAACCTGCAGATCGCGGTGAGGCGACCACGTGCGGCGCACTCGGTTCATCGTCGTTCTTGCCCATGCCAACATCCGATAGTTATTAATGATTTGGTACGTCCGGCGCCCAGCTGGGAGTCGCTTTTCACCGACGTCGAGGGGTGTGCGTGCAGGACCTGGACATGGCGCTGCAAGCTCTCCCGACAGAGCCCAAGGCTATTAATATATACAAGGAGCAGCGCTGGTTCAATATGGGGTGCATCGGGGACGGGCACGAGCCGGCGGGGGAGAGCGGCGCCGAGCACAACTGCCTCTGGGTGGATAGGATGGAGTTCAAGCAGATGTGGGGACACGACCGGGGGCCGCAGGTGCGCCACACACACGCACTTAAAACCAACAGCCATGCACGTGACCGGTGCGCGTGATCGGTGTGCGCGACCAGCCATGCATGCCCGGTGAGCGCTGTGGAGCTCACGCCGCGGTCGGGCGCTGTCTGTGCTGTCGCCCAAAGGCCGTGTGTGCCGCCGATCTGCAGTACTGGCGGCTGCGGTCGTGCTTCGACCTCATTCGGGAGTACGAGGCGCGCGCGTGGAGCCGCTACCGCTACGTGGTGCGGCTGCGCACTGACGTCCGCGTCACCGCGTTCCCCGCGGCGCGGGACTCCCCCGGGGATTTCCGCAAGCAGCTCGAAGAGGCCATGCGCGATCAGCACCGGAAGGAGGCCTGCCTGGTGCCTGGCGTCGACGCTGCGCACGGAACCTTGCGAGACGAGTTCGCAGTGTGCACAAGGCAAGTTGGCGCCGCGCGGACCGCCGTATATGTACTCGGCAAGTCTCAGACAGACCCCTGACCCCATCATGCGCTGTCTGTTCTGACTGGTTCCAGGGGTGCGGCGGAGCACTACATGCGCCTGGCGGACGAGCTGATGGACACTCTGGAGTGGACGCAGCTGGGCTGTCCGACTGACCCGTGGGACGCGTACGCCGTGGAGTGCGTGCTGGGTACCAAACTGCAGCGCGCGAAGGTCGCGGTCGCGGCGCTGACGGACTGGGACAGGCATTGGACGCGCATCTGCAGCGAGGGGTACGAGCTGGTGCAGTGCAAGGCCGACAACGACTTCATCGTCGACACTGCGCGCGAGTACGGCATCACACTGCCATGAAGAGGCTTTCTGCGGATGCGAGAATCAACAGGGACAAGCCACTACATAGACGAGACAGCTAGCTAGAATCAGAGAGGTAGAGTAGGCGCGACATCATTCAACGGCTGTTTTTCCCGACTCTCAGCCCTTGTTGAGGACCAAATCTGGGACTCTCCAGCAGGGCTCGTTCGCTGCGGCGGCGGATCGCCTTGGCCAGACTTCGGCGCAGCATGTGAGCTACACGACCGTCGCTATCCGTCACAAGAAGCACGCAGCACGCACCATTCGACTCGTGCAGTCAACGGCAAGCGGCGCCAGGGACGCAGCCGCGCCGCATCGCGCCGCCAGCACGGGCGTCCGAGGGTCGACCGCGCCGCATCCGCGCCGCACGCTGCATCACTGCAGGATGTCTGGCAACGTGTCAGGAGTGAAGTATTCCCTCTTGACTTCGTCCGCGCTGACGAAGCGCACGAGCTTGGAGTACTTGCCCAGGAGCGGCTTGATGACGGCCCAGACGGGCTTGAACACGAACGGCGCGTCCACGAGGAGCACCTGGCCGATGCGTTTGGGGTAAATGTTGAAGAACAGTTTCACCAGGAACGTGATGAACTCGATGTCGCCGTTGCGCCGGGCGGAGAAGTTGCGCAGGTCGAACAGGCCGAGGACCGTCTCGGCGTCGCGCCCGGCCTCGCCCCGCGTCCCCGCACCTGCGCGGGAGGGTCGTGTGTGGGTGAGCGTGATGTGGCGGTGCACAAATTGAAATTGATACGTGGGCGCCGGCGCCCGTCCGACGAGATGCGGTCGTGCGTGTGTGCATTTATGCGGTGGGGTCGTCGCGACGTCGTCGAATCCGATCGTCGAGCTGTGGCGGCTCTGCGGCCGAGCGCTGTGCATGTTGTCTGGCGAGGGGGCTTGCGGCAGGCGCGGGAGCTGTCAGCGGCGAAGGGGGCCCGAGGCGGCACGGCACGGTCCGGCGTAGCGACGAGAAGCATCTCGAAAAGACACGGGGTGCATTACGATCCTGATATCGGTCGTGATGCCCCCCGTGTCTTCTCAGGTGCTTCCCGTCGTGATGCTGGACCGCGCCGTGCCGCCACGGACCCCCTTCGCCGCTGCGACGTACTCCAGCGCCTTCGGGAACACCATCGACGACCTGTCGCGGCTGTTCTGTTCCACCAGCCTGTCGGTGTGCAGCCCGCGAAGAACGAGGAGACCGCACACGAGCGCAACGGACAGTCGGGTCGCGACAGCCTCGGGTCTCATGCGTGAATGCATCACGAGGACACGCGTCGTTCTGGCCGATGATACGGCGAGCCAGGTGCAGACGAAATGGAAGCAGCGACCAAACATAATCTTCGGGGGCGGGCGATTTCTTGCAGCAATCACCTTCGATTTGCTCCACGCACCGCTCCATGAGGTACACGGCGTACTCCTGGCTGTCGCGGATCGGCGCGGCGCCGATCTCGTGGCGCGCAGCCACTACAATCAGCACCGGCCTCCCGAACACGTCGCGCTTGTCGTGCACGTACGACTTCCCCGTGGCAGCCTGCGCCGCACGCAGCATGCCGTCGCGGTGACCGAGGGAGCCTGGTCCGACTGTGCCCCGGACCTTTGGGGCGGTACACGCTGTCATGGATGGCGCGCGGCAGCTGGCCGGTCGGCAGGGCGCGCACCTCGCTGGCGACGTCGCCCGCAGTCAGAGTCTCCGCCCTGAACTCTTTCCGGAATTCGATCGTTTTCCGCAGCTTCTCCTCGGCCTCCACCACGTCGAGTTTCCTGTCACGCAAAAACCACACCAGCTGGTCGTCCGGGGCCTCAGAGGCAGGGATACGCTCCCGCAGCTGCGCCAGCGCGCTGCTGTGGGCTGCATCGTCCTGCCATACGGGCATCTCGATCCCTGCGCGGAGACGCCGCGTCAAAACGGCCTCCGTTATGGTGCGCGAGTTGGACTCCGATCTGCCAGCGACCACACCGGACAGTGGCTGCGATGTGCAGCTGAACCTGCTGATCAGCAGCAGTCCATGCAGGGGCGCAGAGCGTCTTCTCCGCTCGGCGGTTCTAGACTGCGTGGCACGGCGATGAAGCTGCCGCACCTGTGCTAGCGCTGCCTCCCGCGCGTGCCAGAGGCAGCAGCGGCCGCGCGCCTGGTCGCGATTGAAGGACGTGGCAGCGTCGCGCGGAGCACGCCGCCTTCGCGGCGCTTCCAACCCGGCACGCCTGCATGATGCGGGTCCCTGCAGCTGAGCTCTACACCGCCCAAACAGACTCTAAGCGATTGTTCGACAGCTTTTGGTCCCACGAGTGCGCTCTTCTGATCTAACTCGACGCCGTGAAGCATTGAAATCTCCAAGTCATGGGGGAGTGAGCCCACATCAGGGCGGCGGTGCAACAGAGCAGTCCCCACACCCCACCCTGCTGTGTGCTGTCGATCCGGACCTCGAGCCCATTGCGCCCCTCTCACAGCACCACACGTAGAGCGTGCTCTCGAATACAGCACACGGCGACACCCTACACGCTCTGTCGGCGTCGCAATCGCCCCAACACTGCCTGCTGACCAGCGCCCGGCCTGACGCAGCCCTCCGCTCCAGACACCCGGTCGACCAGCCCACTACGCTCACCATGAACCTTGCATCCTCGGTGCGCGTCAGCGCGGCGCCGCCGGCGCGCACGCAGCGCGCCAGCGGCCTCTGCGCCCACCTGCGCGCTCCTGGCCACCCGGGCCCGTCGCGCCCAGCGCTCGCCCCGAACCGCGCCCCAGGCGGCCGCCACACGCGCCCGCGCAGCGACGTGCGCGTCGCGGCCGTTCCCGACTCCCTGGTCGGCCTCGGGCTCTTCTTCACGCCTGGATTGGCCATCCTGGCCTACGCTGCCGTCCTCGGGAAGGGCGACGTGCGCGACGGCCTGTCGCGCTTCATCACCCAAGTGTCCGCCGGCTACTTCCAGGTACTGCCCGCGCGTCCCGCGGATCAATGCGCGACTGCGCAGCCCGCGCTGGGGGCCACGCCAGCTGCTGCATCAACCCGCGATCGCGCCCGCCTCGACGCATCCTGATCTCACTGCGTGCATCTTCCCGGATATTCAGTGTCGTGCGCGCCTCACCGCGCCCTGCATTGCGCGTTTCCGCCCCCGCTGCGTCCTGTCGGCGCCGGTCACCCTCCGCCGCGTGCTCCCTGGCACCGCAGCCGAACCTAGGCGGCGAGAACATCCCCGGCGTGGACGCCAAGGTCGACGTGCTCGACGGCAGCGAGCCGCTCTTCAAGCCCCTGTTCAACTGGTACCTGGAGGCCGGGGCCTGCTACAAGCTCGCGTTTGGGCCCAAGGCCTTCCTCGTGGTGTCGGACCCGGTCATCGTCCGGTACATCCTGCGCGAGAACGCGTTCAACTTCGACAAGGGCGTCCTCTCCGAGATCCTCGAGCCCATCATGGGCAAGGGCCTCATCCCCGCGGACCTCGAAACGTGGAAGCCGCGGCGCCGCGCCATTGTGCCGGCCTTCCACAAGGCGTACCTGAACGCGATGATGCGCATGTTCGGCGCCTGCACCATGCGCTCCATCGAGAAGCTCGAGGCCTGCCTGGTGCGCCCCCGCCGCGCTGCCCCCCGCCCCTGCACGAACACGCAACCTGTGTTCCAAACAACCACGACCACGTTCCTGTGCTGGGCGGAACGCACCGTGCGCGCCGAACGAGCGCGTGATAAATTGTTTCTCGCGCAGGACACGGGCAAGGGGTCCGGTCTGCTGGAGATGCGCGGCGGGAAGCCCGTGCTGGACATGGAGACGGAGTTCCTCAACGTGGCGCTCGACATCATCGGGCTCGGGGTGTTCAACTACGACTTCGGGTCGTGCACGAGCGAGTCGCCCATCATCAAGGCCGTGTACGGCGTCCTGAAGGAGGCCGAGCACCGGTCGACGTTCTACATCCCCTACTGGCACGTGCCCCACGATGAGCGCCGCTGCCGCTCGATTCCCTGCTTCCAGTCCGCGCTGAATATTATTCCGGCTGTTTCATTCCGGGGGTCCGCGCTGCGGCTGCTGAGCACGCTGCGCTCCGTGCTGTGCTGACTCGCAGGGACCTCCCGGGGGCGTCGGTGATCGTGCCGCGTCAGCGCGCGTTCCGCCAGCAGATGGCTGTTATTTCAGAGGCGCTCGACGAGCTGATTGAGCTGGCGAAGGAGTCTCGCGAGGAGACGGACGCGGAGGCCCTGCAGGCGCGGGACTACGACAACATCAAGGACCCCTCGCTGCTGCGCTTCCTGGTCGACTCGCGCGGGGAGGACATCTCCACGAAGCAGCTCAGGGACGACCTGATGACCATGCTCATCGCCGGCCACGAGACCACCGCGGCCGTGCTCACGTGGTGCGCCTTCCAGCTCGCCCAGAACCCCGAGGTCGAGGCCAAGCTCCACGACGAGATCGACAGGTGGGCGCCACCGGCCTGAACCTCATCCGTACAACGCACGACGTGTCCACGCGCCGGCGCAGTGCATGCCTCTGTCACAGATCTCGCAACAGGACAGAACAGAGCTGTCGGCTGGGGATCGATGGGTGGCTGGAATGCATCCCATGGTCACGCTGTGTGTGCGTGCTGTTTTATTGCAGGGTGGTCGGCGACCGCGTGCCGACGATGGAGGACGTGGACAAGATGCCGTACCTGCGCGCGTGCCTGGCAGAGTCCCTCCGCATGTACCCGCAGCCGCCCATCATGATCCGCCGCGCCCTCGCGGACGACGTCCTCCCCGGCGGCCTCTCGTCCGACGTCGCCCCCGACGGCTTCCCCATCGCCAAGGGCGCGGACATCTTCATTTCTACCTGGAACCTGCACCGCTCGCCGAAGCTCTGGAAGGACCCCGACACGTTCCGGCCGGAGCGGTTCACGGAGAAGATGGAGTGCCCCGCGGAGTGGGCCGGCCGCGGGTGGGAGGGCTTCGACCCCGAGCGCACGCCCAACGCGCTGTACCCGAACGAGACGATGGCGGACTTCGCCTTCCTGCCGTTCGGAGGCGGCGTGCGGAAGTGCGTGGGGGACCAGTTCGCGCTGCTGGAGGGCGCGGTGTGCCTGTCGATGATGGCGCGGCGGTTCAAGTTCCGGCTGGCGACCACGCCGGAGGAGGTGGGGATGGCGACGGGCGCGACCATCCACACGGGCAACGGGCTGAAGATGATGGTGGAGCGGCGGAGCGCGGCGGGGGCGGAGGCGCCCGCGCAGTCGCCGCCGGCGGTCGCAAGCACGTGAGAGGTTCGCGGGCGGACGGAGGGGCTGCAACTCTTAATTGAGTTGCAAACGAAGGAGCCCGCAGACCCCCCCCCCCCGGTCGTCCTACGACGACGCTTCGAAAGTGCGCCGCTGAGTGTAATTCACATCGTGATGCGTGAGCGCGCAGCTGATCTATTCCTCCACCCACGACGCGTCCTCGACGTCCGAGTCGCTGTCCTCCGCGAACACGAACACCGGCCGCGTTCCCGCCGCCTGTGCCGCCGGCGTCCGTCCCTCCGCCCCCTGCACGCCGCCCGCGGCCCGCGCCGCGCCGTACTGCTCCTCCACGATCTGGTCGAACCACGGCAGCAGCAGCGACCGCTGCCCGCCGCCCTCGGCCGCCAGCGCCTGCCTGCCGGCCTCGATGCGCAGCGCCGAGTCCCACGGGAGCCGCACGGAGCGGTCCGTCGGGGCCCCGGTGCTCGGTGCGGGCTCCGTGCCCGTCGCAGCAGGCGGCGTGATCTCCGCGGCCGGCTGCGGCAGGACCGCAGCATGGAACCGCAGCATCGCCCGCTGCATGGGCCCCGAGTCAGGCCCCGAGGGTGTGTAGAACACGCGGGGCGCGCGGAGCTCCGACGCCCGCGGCAGGGCCTCGACCATGACCTTGCAGTCGCTCCCCGGCGCGCCTTCCTCCTCGCGCTGGATCGCCTCGAGCCCCGTCAGCAGGCTGGAGAGGTACGTCGCTACGTAGGGGTGCAGGCGACGCAAGAGCCGCATGAGCGGGCTGTGGCGCGGGCGGCTCTGGTACGTGACGGACCCGCCGCCGGCCTGCGGGGCGTACGGGTGCGGCGACGGCGGCGCGAACGGGTGCGGGAGGCGCTGTGCGCGCCAGGCTAGCTGCCAGCTGTTCGCGCCCGACGCAGGCAGCTGCCCGAAGAGCGGCTCGTCCGGGCTGCGCGCGCCAGCGCGCATCGCCTGAGCCTCCTCGATCGCCACACGCGGGGACGTGACCCCGTCCCCCTCCCCGCTGGGGCCGGCGCCGTCGTTGCCCGCGGCCGACGGCTCCGCCGCCGCGCCGGGCTCCGCGCGGCCGAGACCGTCCGTGGCGGACCGCCACCCGGCGTGCCGCGGCACCTTGGCCGCGCGCTCGGACTCGGACCGCGGCGCGTCGCTCGCCGGCGCCTGCGACGAGTCTGGGGAGTCCGCGGCCACGGGGCACGCGCCGCGGTCGAACGAGCGCGCGCCAGGCAGCACGGACGGCGGCGTCGTCGCGGCCGTCTCGGGCCCGAACGCCGGCGACGCGGGCGACAGCAGCTCCGACCCCCCCGGGGGACTCCCCGACTCCGGCAGGTCGGCCTGACACTCCGTCAGGTAATCCGCGAGCTGCTCGAAGTGCCCCAGCGCGTACTCGATGCATCCGGCCATCAGGTGGTCCGCCTGGAACGCCTCCGCCATGTCGATCAAGTCCAGCAGCGTGTCCTGATTCAGGCCCTTCCGTAGCACGTGCTCGCACGGGTGCTTGAGCTCCGGAAGCATCCACTGGTCCGCGAAGTGCAGGAGCTCGCCCGCGAGCTGCGCGCTCGCGCCGTCCATCAGCCCGCGCCGGTCAATGGTGTAGAGCTCGTACATGGCGCAGCAAAAGACCTCCCACCTGACGTCAGGCAGCTCCACGCGCCGCGCGCCGCCCTCGCGGAACGAGCCCTCGAGCATCGTCCGGAACGCGGCGCTCTTCTGGCTCAGCAGCTCCCGGTGCGCCCGGAACACGCGCCCCTCCACCACCACCTCGAGGTCCCATCCCGCGTCGCCGCCCTCCCCGAGCGCGCCGCGCTGCTCCGCCCACCGCACGGGGTCCCACTCGCGCTCGCCGCCGTCGCGGTGCGGGTGCAGGAACTCCATCCGCGCCGGCGCGCCGCCGTCGTCGCCGCCCCGCGGGAACACCGCCGGCGGCGGCGCGAGCCACCCGCCGTCGCTGAACACGAGGCACAGCTGGGCGCCCGCGGGCGTGCGGGAGCGGCGGTCGCGCACGACGTCCTGGAGGTGCTCGCGCGCACGCTCCGTCAGCGCCGCGAGCGCGCGCAGGACGAGCGCGGGCGGCTCGGTCCGCCCCAGCAGCGCGTCGGTCAACACCCCGCCCCCGCGCGACTCCAGCATCACCTGACTCAGGTACTTGGGGTCCACGAGGAGCGCGAGCGCCACCGCCGCGTTCCGCCGCACCGTCACGCAGGCGCTGCCCACCATGGCCATCACCTGCCGCACCACCCGCGGCTCCAGGAGCCTCTCCGCCAGCCGCTTCATCGTCCGCGCGACGCAGTCCTCGCCCTGCTGGCTGTGCGGCACGACCGACTCGAGCTCGGTGACGAGGCCGCCGCGGATGAGCTCCGGGACGTTGTCCGAGTTGTCCGAGAGCCCGTACAGCACGAACGACGCGTTGTGCTGCACCTCGGCCAGCGGGGACTGCAGCAGCGCGAGCAGGTGCGGCAGCGCCGCGCTCTCGAGGAGGCCCGCCTGCGTGTCCCGGTCGAGGCACAGCCGCCCGAGCGCGAACGTGCTCATCTCCTGCAGCACCTCGGGCCCGTGCGGGTCGAGCATCTGCACCAGCGAGGCCACCGCGCCGCGCTGCGCGATCACGGGGCGGAAGCGCTCGTCGGCCGCGAACTGCCCCATGAGCAGCGCGGCCTCCCGCCGGGCGTCGTCCGTGCAGTGCGGCCGCAGGAGCCGGATGATGGCCTGCAGCGCGCCGTCCGTGAGCAGCACGCGGCCCTTCATGAGCGGCGTCGAGTGCACCAGGTTGCCCACCACGCCGATGGCCTCCGTGTAGACGCTCTCGTCCTCGGCGCGCAGGAGCGGCACGAGCGTCTCGAGGCCGCCGTGCAGGACGATCGCGTCCTTGTTCTCGTCGTTCTTGAACGCCAGGACGCGCAGGGCCATCACGGCCGCGCGCCGCACCTTGACGCAGCTGTGGTCCGCCAGGTCCAGCAGCGCCGGGATCGCGCCCTCGCGCCGCAGGTCGTGCTTCACCTCGTTGTTGTCCACCGCCAGCGCGTACACCGCGTCCGCCGCGCGCCTGCGACGCCCGCCCGGAAACACCACATCGTTCACGGCTGAGTCAATTGACATATCAAGTATATATATACGATGGTGTGGCTGGGTGCGTGGTGGGGTCGGCGGGGTGCGGGCGGACCTGGGCGCGCCGCCCGTGGCGCCGATGGGGACGTAGTCGACGGGGCGCAGCAGGCGCACGACGTGCGGGAGCGCCCCGAGGCGCGCGATGACGGTCTGGTTGGACGACAGCGCGCCGTCCGCGAGCACCATCGAGATGCAGAAGCACGTGTCCTGCGGAGGGGTGGCTGCGGACGGGTAGTTGCGCGGCGGGCGGGGCGGCGGGCGGGCGCGGGCGGGGGGGGCTCGAAATTCGACGAAACGGTGCATGGCCGCGCGCGGGGGGGTCCCGGGGACGTAGTTTATGTGTTGTGGAGCTGCGGGGGACCGTAGGGCCCGGAGCGGTGCTGGAAGCGGGCGCGGGGGTCGCGGTGGGCGCGGGCGCGGCTGGGAAGGCCACGAGAGCGCACGCGGGGGCCGGTGGGGCGCGCGCACCTTCTCTATGTGGTGCAAAAGGGTCTTGGTCTCCTTGAGCTCCTCCTCGGCGATGCCGCCTTCGTCCAGGAACGGGCTCTGGAGCATGCTGATCTTCAGGAGCGACGCCAGGACCTCCAGGCCCCCATGCTGCACTCAACACGCGCGCAGAGACGCGTGAAGCCGCCGCGCAGGGCCTCGCAATTGATCAGGGCCGACGGGTCCGGGGAGCGCGAGGCGTTTCCGCGCGCCCCGCCGCCCGGGGACGGAAGGGCCTGTGCGCGCGGGCCCCTCGAAGCGACCGTATAGCAGCGTCATGCCTCCTCACCTCGACGAACTTCTCCCGGAGCGCCGGGGAGGCGCGCATGAGGTCGGACGCGGCGTGGACCTGTTTGTAGATGCCTCCGACAGTGTGGGCGAACAGGCGGTCCTCGCACGCCCTCACCTGCTTGAGGGCGCGCACGCAGCTCACGAGATGCTCGCACTGCGCAGCGCACGGGGGGAATCGCTGGCCGTGAGGGGCGCGCAGTTGCGACGCTGTGCGCAGGGGCGGCTGCGGTGTGCGTTCCGCGCCGAAAGAGCGCGGCGATGGAAGCTGCGAGCCGAGCAGCAGCCCCTGGAGGCGGTTCAGCCAACTTTGGGGCGAACGTCGCGACAGCGGGCCGAAAACAGAAAGATACCGGCCGCCGGGGGCGTGAGGCTGCTCAGGGATCATGGTGCGTCCGCTCTGACGCGTCAGAGGCTCGGCTGCGAGCCGAGGTCGGCGCCCCTTGCCTGATCCTCGTCGCGCTGGGCCTGCTCGTCTAAGCGAGAGCGCTTTCGCCGGACTGACCCAGACATGTCTGCCCGCGTGCACCACCGACCGTACGGCCGCCGCCGGGGCGAATTCGATCCACTGTCCAAGCCCCGCTTAGGCCGCAAAGCTCGGTGGCAGTGCGTGCACTAGATGCCGCGCGAACGACACGGTCGAGCCGCAGATCGCCCTAAGTCCCACAGTTTCCCTCTAGAATACACTGTGAAACCCTCCCGCGCATTTCTTTTCATGTATCAAACGGATGCGGTGGCGTCCGGGCGGCCCCTCGAGCTCTCACGCGACGGTGCGCGCTGAGAGCGCACCTCGCGCGCGCCCACCACCGTTCCTACCACGTCTACCGGCCACAGAAGCGCAAGTACCCTCTCCGCGCCGCAGCGCGGGCAAAGACACCGCACACTCACGGCCACTCACCACCCCCCTCAGTCAACAATGCTACCTCGCACCCGCCCACGTCCCATCTCACGCCCCTTCCCGCACCTCGCTGCTCGCCCACCCCCGCGCCCTGCGCGCGTCCGAGCGAGCCCCTCACCCCGCGACTCTCCGGCGCCCGTGTGTGTGTACGAAGCCGAATCACAACAACACAACTCGTGGCGCAGCTCCGCACAATCGCAACTCCAACGTCCCTCCCGCGCCCTCCGCGGCGACCCCCCCGCGTGCCGCAGCTACGCGGCCCCCTCCCTGTCTCGCGCGCTGTCCCGCACACTCGCGCGGTCCTGTGGACGCCGTGCTGAGTCCAGGTCGTCCGTCGTTGCCGGCGCGCGCAGAGGGGACCCGAACGCCGCACTGCACGCCGCACACAGGTCGGAGCACGAACACCGGTCAGTACTACGCAGCACGTACCAAACAAACAAACAAACACCGCGCGAGAAGACAATCAGACAGGTCAGTTGCGGAGCTCCGGAGGAGTGCCCTGCGGGCAGCGGGCGCCGCACCTCGCGTACTGTGGCCGGCGCTCCTGCTGCGGCTGCTCGTCCCCGGGCGACACCGAGTTGTTGCTGCTCGAGGCGCGGCGCGTCTCGTCCCGCAGGTGCCGCGGCGTCCGCTGGGCCTCCTCCGGGTCGGGGATGTACTCCTCGTCGCCCCCCGACGCAGACGACGCTACCGCCGGCTGCTGCGCCTCGGTGGCCGCGACCTCCACTGACTGGCGCCCCGCCGCCTGCTCCAGCACGCTGTCGAACGCGGGCTGCGCCGGCTGCACCTGGAACGAGAGCGTCATCGCCGGTGCGCGCCGGTCGGCCGCGCCGCCGTCCGTGCCCAGTTCGCGGCCCGGCGGCGGCGCGCCGAGCGAGTCCGACGGCCGGAAGGACCCCCCCGGCCCCGCGCCGGACGCCCCCGGGTCGGAGGGCGTGGTCATGCCCGCGCCGGCCATGGCCATCACCGGCGCCGGCGCATCGGGGTACTTCTCGTCCAGCTCCGGCACCCGCTCCGGCGCCGCGCGCGCCGCCTCCTCCTCGGGCTCGCCGTGCGGGCCGGAGCGCCCCTGCGGCTCCGGGGGCTGCGCCGGCGGGTACCCCGCGCTGGTGCCGGCCAGGGAGGACAGCACGGCGTCGGGGATCTCCATGCGCTCGCCGCCGCTCCCGCTCTTCAGCATCGCGTCGAACGCGGACGCGAGCTTCTCCGACTCCTCCAGGAACTGCCGTGTGCGCGGCGTGAACTTCTGCTGGTCGTCGGGGGGCGGCCGCGGCGGGGGCGCGCGCGCGTCCGCGCCCGGGCGCGGCAGGCCCGACAGCGGGGGCACGGCCGTCCTGGGCGGGGCGGGCTTCTCGGGGGAGTCGTCCGACAGCTCGTAGTCGATGTCGTCCTTGTCGCGCTTGGGGGGACTCTCCGGGGCTGACTCAGGCGGGGGTGTTGGGTCGCTCGAGCCCGCGGACTGCAGCAGGACCCCCCCCTGGCTCACCGAGGACGTCCGCACCGGCGCGGGGGGCTCGGCCTCGGCCTGCTCCTCCGGCTGCGGCTGCGGCTCCGCGCGCGACGACGCCAGCGACGAGCCCCGCACGGACATCGCGGACGCCTTCTCAACGACCGACGCCGCCTCCAACTCCGAAGCCGCTGTCTCCGCCTCGGCCACCTGCTCGCTCGCCTCGCCCCGCGACGCACCGGCCCTCTGGGCGGGCCACGCCTCCGGGCTCGCGGCGTCGGGGGGGGTGTTGGCGTTGTTCATCTTGGGGAACAGGTCCACGGTCGGCGTCTGCACGGACGCCGGCGACGCCGACGTGGCCTCGTTGCCCGGGGGCTCGGCGTGTCGCCACGGCGACAGCTCGCTGGCGTCCACCGAGGCCTCGGCCCGGCCCGTCTGCGGCGCCGTCGGCGGCGCGTCGGCGCTGTTGCGGCTGGCGCGCGACAGCTGGTAGGAGCTGCCGTGCTGCCGGGCGGTCGCCGGCGCCGACAGCGGCTGGAAGGGCGAGCGCGGGGCGTGCGCGGCGGCCTGCATGTTGCGCTGCGAGGACCCCGAGCTCCGCTGCCCGCGCGACGTCATCGTCCCGCGGTACGTCGCGCCGTGCCGGAACACCGACGTGTAGTCCTCCTCGCGCTCGTCCAGGTCGCGGCTGGACTCCCCCCGGGCCCCGAGCAGCTCCGCGCCGCCCTCCCGCGGCGCGTGCGGGCTCTTCTCGATGGCGTCCACCCGCTTCTTGGCCATCTTCAGCGCGTCCTCGCCGTACAGCGCCTTGTCCGTCGACGTCACGTGCCGGTGCCGCTTGAGCATCTTGAGCGTCCCCGGCGACATGGTCCACGGCACCTTGGACGACTCGTCGCGCGCCTCCTGCAGCTCCTGCTTCATCATCAGCGCCTTCTGCCGCTGCGCCGTCCGGCGCTCCGCGTCGCGGTACATGCGGTCGAAGAACCCCTGCGAGGCCGTCTTCTTGGGCTTGGGGCGCCGCGGCACGCTCTTCCCGCGCCCCTCGGCCTCCAGCTTCTCCGCCTCCTGCCGCCGCTTGCGCTCCTCGCGCTCCATCCACTCCACGTGCTGCTGGTACTCCACCTCCCGCGCGTCCTCGTCCTCGATCTGCTTCATCCCGGAGAACTGCACCACGTTGAACGTCTCCGTCTCGCGCACGCGCGACTTGCTGCGCGCGCGCGACTTGCTGCGCGCCTTGCCCGCCGCGCTGCGCCGCGGGGAGCTGGCCGCGCCGACGTGGTCCTCGGTCAGCGCGCGCGGGTCGGTGATGGACACCTGCGCGCGCCACGCGGGGCTCTCGCCCGCCAGCCGCGAGAAGTCCGTCGCGTGCGGGCTCCGCGGCGTCTGCGCGCCCGGCCGCAGCGGCGACGGGCTCGCCTCGCGGCTCTTCGCGTCCACCAGCGCCCGGTACTTGCGGCGCCCCTCCTTCTGCTTCCGCGAGCTCTCCGTGTTCGCCGCGTACAGCCGGTTCGCCACGCGCTCCTGCTCGTCCGGCGTCAGCGGCCGCCGCTTCTTCTCCGGCGTCGGCGTCTTCCCCGCCTTCCGCAGCTTGCCCTCCAGCCGCCGCGCCGTCGTCTCCGCGATCTCGTCGAACGTCCCGCGCGTGTTCCGCGGGGCCGCGGCCCCCCGGTCCCGCACGATGTCGTACGGGTCCGTCGCCTCGCGCCGCGACGCAGGCCCGCGCGACACCGACCGCATCCCGCGCTTGTCCCACGCCTTCTCCTTCTCCTTCTCCTTGTCGCGCTTGGTGCGCGGACGGCCGCGGTCGTCGGCGCCGCGCGGGCGGGACTTGGAGCGCGACGCGGCGGTGTGCCCCGTCGCGCGCGCGCGCGCCGCGCCGCGGTCGTCGGCCGGGTCCGCCCACATTTGCAGGGAGTGCTCCGGGACGCGGGCGTCGCCGGCGGGGGCCTGCGGGGACGACTTGTTGGACGTGCCCGCCGCGGCGGCCTCCATCTGCGCCTCCGCGAGCGCGCGCTTGAAGGCCTCGTTGTTGCGCGCCTGCGACCGGCTGCGGCCGCGGCTCTTGCTGCGGCCCGCGCTCGCGCCCTCGCCGTACCGGCTCATCGACACCTCGCGCACCCGCGACTTGCTGCGCGCCCGCGATCGGCTGCGCGCACGCCCAGGCGCCTCGTCGGGCGGCCCGGACGGGCGCCGCGGCGTCGGCCCGCTCTCGATCTCCCCCGTGACGTCGTCCTTCCACACGATGGGCGCCCGCGCGCGCCGCGGGGTGCCGTCCTTCTTCAGCACCCCGCGCGTGGACGCAGGGGCGTCGTCCGACACCGCGCCGCCCTCGTCCTGCCGCGCCGTGCCGTCCGTGCCCGCCGCCAGCGCCTCCAGCGTGGGCGCCACGCTGCCACCCACCGCCGCGTCGCCCGCGTCGTCCGTCCGCGCCTGCACGCCCTCCGCCTGCGCCGCATCCTCCACGGCGGCCGCGACCGCCTGCCCGGCGCTGTCGTCCTTGCCCACGCTCTTGATCGTCGCCAGCCCCGGCACCTGGCTCACGCGCGGGCCGCTCGGGGACCGGTGCACGCGGCTCCCGCGCGGCGACGGCTCCGGGGACTGGTTCAGCGCAGCGCGGCGGGTGCGGCTGCGGCCGCGGCGCCCGCCGTCGTCGTCGTCGTCGCTCTCGTTCTCCGTCGGGCGCAGCGAGTTGGCCTGCGCGGCGCGCGCAGAGGTGCGCGGGTGCCGCGGGGGGGTCGCCGCGGACGGCGGGGCCGCGGCGGCGAGCTCGTGGTCCGTCGAGGCGCGCTGCGAGCCCAGCACTTCGTCCGCGCCGGAGGGCGACCTGCGCGGTGGCAGCGGGATCAGACAGAGGTTGGGCGCGCGAGAACAGATACCGGGGGCCGACTGGAAAGGAACTCGTGGGCGTGTGTCGGCGTGCGACGCGCGACGCGCGCGGCGGCGGGGTGCTCACGGGGACGGCGCGCGGCTCCCCGCGCGGCTCCCGGCGCGGCTGGCCGGTCCGAAGCGCACTTGGCTCCTGCTGCGTGCGCGGCGGGTGTTTTGGAAGTTGGGCAGCGCGCCCTCGTCCGCGCCCTCCGCCTGCCACAGCGCGTTGCGCTCGTTCGGGTTGTATCCGGTCTCGTGCGGCGACCGGTGCGCCGCCCTGCGCCACGCACACACGGAAAGCGCGCGTCAGCGCCTGCGCGACGCAACGGGATGGCACAACAATGACGGCGGCGCGGGGGCGCTGCGTACCTGGCGACGGACCGCGCGCGAGAGTGGCTGCGGTACCGCGACTGGCTGCGTCCGTCCGGGCCGCGCGACTGGCTCCGCGCGCCCGGCCCGCGGCTCTTGGACACCCCCGCGCGCGACCGCGACCGCGCCACGCTGCGCGACCGCCCGCGCGGGCCGTCGTCGCGCTCGGGGCTCGAGGACTGGTCGCGGCGCGCGTCCGGCCCGCGCGACTGGCTCCGCGCGCCCCGGGCGCGGCTCTTCGCGCGGTAGCGCGTGTCGCGCCCACGCGTGATGACGCCGCCCGCCACCGGCGCGCCGTCGATGTTCGCGTCGAGGTAGAACTGCCCGCCCGTGACGTCCTCGACGTCGTCGAGCTTGTTCTCCCACGCCTCCGTCGTGTGCTCCGTCAGGCGCCGCACCACCCCAGCGACGTCCACCTTCTTCTTCGGCGCCTCCTCCGGCTCCTGTGCGCGCCGCGCGGCGTGCACGTGCCCCGTGAGCCTCGCCTGGAACTCCTTCGTGGCCTCCTTGGCCGCGTTGAACGCCTCCGTGCCCTGGAGCAGCCGCGCCGAGGGCGCCACGACCTTCCGGGAGTGCCCCGAGTGCAGAGCCTTCTGGGCACGCCCCGCGGCGCGGGCGAGCGCCTTGGCGAGCGAGGGCGACGACATCACGGGAGCGGAGGCGCGCGGGGCCGGTTCCGCGGCCCCGTTGCCGCCGACCGCCCCGGGCTGCCGCATGCCGTGCGGCACGGGGGCCGCGGAGGGGCTATGGGTGGCCGCGTCGTCCGCGCCGGGCTTTCCGGGCGAGGTTCGCGGGATCACGGGCTCGCTGGGGGTCCATTTGTCCCGCCCGCGCGGCGTCGGCTTCAGGAGGGACTCCCCGTGGTCGCTGTACCCTCCGTTCTCGCTCAGCGGTGTTCGCAGCGGCCGTGGCGACTGCAGGCCGGCCTTCCGCGCCTCCGCCCTGTAGACCGCCTGGAGTTCGCTGACCAGGTCCTGCGGTCGCGGTCGCGCACGCGTCTCACGGGCTCAGCGCTCGCGGCCGGGGCAGCGAGGCCTGGGACGCCAGCAACGCTGCCGAGCGCACCGCCGGGACCACCGCGCACGCGCGACGGGGGGGGGCTCGTCACGGCGTGCACAGAGCGCTTGCACAGCACGCCGCGGGGCATCACCGCCGCGACGGCGTCCAGCGGGGCGCAGGGAGGGCCGTAAGAGCTGCACATAGGACTTACCGCTTTGCGCGGCGACTTGAAGTATTGAGTCCTCGTTGGCGCCATCCTGCTGTTCTATGAGGTGCGGAGGACGGAAGCGCGGCAGCCGGCTGCGCGCTCAGGGGCCGTGCGTGCGCGAGGCCGCTTCGAAGCTCGCTAGGCCGCAGGCCTGGCTATGGGCCCGCGCGGCCGCCGCTGCGCTGCCGTCGAGGGAACCGAGGGCGCTCGCGGGGGAGGACAGCTACGGAGGAGCGCGGGGCATCGTCCAGCCGCACGGGAAAGCCTGCAGGTGCGCGGCGGGGCGAGGGCAGGGCTGGGCTGAGCGGCCGAGCAGCTGCCGAGCGGGGCTGCCTGGGGGCGGGGAAAAGCAGTCGAGTCGTGAATCTCGTTCGAGGAAATGCATATGCGCGCGACGGTGCGCGCGGGAGCCTGCAGGGGCGGGTCACGGCCGCCCGGGGCCCGGTGGTCGTGCGTGCTCGTTGTTGAGGACCTTACCGTGCGTGGATCTCGCTCAACGCTGCCGCCCGGGCGTGGTTCGCACCCTTGCTACACGCCACGTCTCGGCACGACTTGCTGCGCGCGGGTGCGCGCGCTCCCGTTCAGCGCCGCGGTGGCTGCGGGCGCACTCGTGCCTGACATCAGCCAGCGGGCTGCTCTCAGAACCCCACACAGGTGCGTCGCGCCGCACAGATCCGTTTGTTCACGTCGGGCTCGCAGCCGCTGTCCAAACCGAGCCGTTCGTGCCGAAATCCGTGCCGCATTCCGGGGAGCGCGCTCGTGCGCGGGGTGCGAGGGCTGCATGTGACACAACAAGCGCGCCCTTGGCCCCGCCCCCGCCCGACACGTCGCCGTCTCCTCGGCCCACGTCGCGGCACGGCACGCGGGCTCGCGCTGCGCCTCGTCCGCGCGCGCGGTGCGTGTGGCGCGCCCAACGTGCTGGAACAGGACACACGCCAGTACTTCCGTCCCGGGGGGCGGCACCGAGACCGACGGGACGCGCGGGCCGCGCTCCGCCCTCAGCAATACCAGGGCCGTCGAGGCAGGGCGATTACGGGTCACACGGGGCGGAAGCACGCCCTAGACGGTGCGAGACCCACACACCACATCAGCTGCACTTGACAGGCCACGCGACGACGGCGCACGCGCCCCGGAGCACCCGCGCCCGCGCCCCGCCTGCGCCCTGCCGCGTCGCTCGCCCGCACGTGCCGCGGCGCCACAGGCCGCTGCCTGACGTCAGGTGAACACGTCCGCGAGCTCCGTGCGCATGAGCTCGTAGTAGAGCTTCCGTTTCGAGGGCGCCTCGTGCAGCGGGATGAGCGTGAAGAGCAGCGACGCCGCCACGAGCCGCACGTCCGCCATCTTCACCGTCGGGTAGCGCTCCGCGACGAACGCCTCGTACGCTGCCATCAGGCGCCGCGCGCTCTCGCGGTCCTGCCCGCGCAGCGGCCAGCGGTCGAGCAGGATGTAATCGTACCCGAGCAGCGACTGCAGCACCTTGGCGAGGTCGTACACCGCGTCGCCGCCCACGGCGAGCGTGTCGCCGAGCTGGCCGCGCATGTCGATGAAGCACACGCGGTTCGACGCGGTGAGGAGGATGTTCGAGAACACGGGGTCGCCGTGGATGACGGGCGCGAGCAGCCCGCGCCCCGCCTCCCGGTACGCCTCCAGCTTGGCCACCAGCGCGTTGCACACCGCCTCGGAGCCCTCGAGCTCCGCGTACACCTCCCGCGAGACCGTGAAGCGCGCGCGGGTCTTGGGCGCGTAGTTGTCGTACATGCGGTCCGCGAGCGCGGCGTCGGCGGGCGCGGCGCCCTGGTGGGTGTGCATGGTGTGCAGGCCCTCCAGCGCGCGGAGCAGGCGGCCGGGGGTGAGGCAGCCGTTGACGGCGAGGTGCGAGAGCGTGGCGCCGTTGACGCGCTCCATGCAGATCGAGACCTGCGCGTCGTCCTCGGTCACGCTGTGCAGCCGCGCAAACAGGTGGGACAGCCCCGGGGGGGTCGACTGGTAGAAGTGCGCCTCGCCCTGCGCGACACGGAGTTCGTGAAGACGACGGGGGTGTGCACCGGCGCGCACACGGCGGCGGGTACGTCGGGGGGTGTGTAGGGGGGGGTGTTACCCGGATGGAGGGGTGTGACGAGGACTTGACGACGCGGTCGTCGAGCGCGACGACGTGGTTGTGTCCGCGCGCGGCGATCATCGACTTGCGGTCCTTCACCTCCTCCTCGGGCTTCCACCACCCGATCTCCTTGCGCGTGTCCACCAGCGCGTTCACCGCCAGGTCGTCGACGTATATGTCCGCGTGCGGCTTCCCGAAGTGCAGCTCGTCGTACGGGATCCCGAAGTCCGACAGCGTCATCATCGTCACGAGGCCCACGTCCTGCAGGATCTTCCCGATGTTGCCCTTGTGCGTGCGCATGCGCCGCGCCGTCGAAATGATGATGTAGTGCCCGCACTCCTTCAGCTGCCGCACCAGCTGCACGTTGTCCGGCTTCGGCGACACCGTCGAGTAGTCCCCCGACACCGCCGGCGCCGTCACCAGCGTGTTGTCCAGGTCGAAGCAAAACTTGAGCGTGCGCTTCACCTGCACTTTGCCCTGCCGTGCGAGCTCCAGGAACTCGTCCACCTGCGCAGCGCCGGGCGGAGGCGTGGCGCGGCAGGTGGGCACGCCGCTGCGCGGCAGGCGCCGCGGTTGCGCTGCGGCGTGGGTGTGAGGGCGCACCTGTGCTGGGGTGCCCAGGCAGTGGAAGTCCTTGACGGGCCCGATGCCTAGGAAGCACTGGCCGTCGTCGAGCATGCGCTGGATGACCGTGGAGGTGTAGTACTCGCCCGCGGCGCCCACGGCTCCGTCGAGGACCGCCTCCGCGTACCGCATGATGGTGGCGGCGTCGCGGAAGGCGTACGCGCCGGTGTTGGCGTGGCGCGACACGGGGATCTTCTCCTTGACTTCCTGCACGCGGCCCCCGCTGTCCATCTTGATGTAGGAGAACAGCGGCCTGTCCTGCTCGTCCTCGAAGTAGAAGGTGGCATTCAAGGAAGGGTCGATGGCGCGGAACTGGGACAGAACGTCCTCGAAGTAGATCGTGTCGCAGTCGAGGCAGATGGTCTTGAGCGAGCGGCGCTCCGGCGGGATCCCGCTGAGCACCACGTACAGCGTCTCGGCCGCACCCCTGGTCTGGAAGTTGAGCGGCACGCAGACCAGCTCCACGTTCGGGTACTCCTTCTTCAGGCGGTCGTACAGCTGGAAGTCGTGCTCAATGACGCGGTCGATGGCGTAGTACACCACGTCGCCGTCCGCGAGCGACAGGTGGTCCAGGAGCCAGTAGAGCATTGCCCTTCCCAGCACGTTCACCAGAGGCTTCGGGAAACGGTAGCCGTCCGACCGGAACCGGTTCCCGATGCCGCCCATCGGGATGATGATGTTCATGCTCGGGCCGGACGGAGCCATCTTGCCTGCCGCTGCCCTCGACGCCCCGTGGACACTCGCATGCAGAGCGCGCCCCCTGCGGACCGCTCAGTCGCGGATGGAACGGCCTAGCGGCGCAAGGAGCTTCTTCTGCCCGCACGCATGCTCGGCGCGGGCCCGAAGAGGACTGCCGTGCGTGGACGCACCCCGCGGCGGGGCCCACGTCTGGCCGGGCTGACTCAGGACGCGCACGACGCTATGGCGACGACGCCGGAGCTTCGACCGTGGAGCGACGGGACGGACCGTGCGGACGGCCCGCCACGGTCCTCGCGTTTCTCGCCGGCACGCCGCGTCCGTCAACGCAGGAAAAGGTTCACACTGGCACCATTGCGGGAGTGTGATTCTGGTCGACCTGGGACGCCGGGCGTGGTCCACAGCGTCGCGACGTGCACACGTGCGGTCGGGACCAAGCAGTCGAGGCGGCTCGGCTCGGTCCGCAGCAGAAGGGGCGTTCTGGCACACTTGCGACACGCAGTGCGAGCGAGTGCTGTTCGCAAGGCCCGGGGGGCCGGCGAACAGGTGCGAGGTCGCGAGCGAGCAGCTCCCGGTGCACTTCGAAAGAGCGGCTCACACGACGGTCCGGCTGCGGACTAGCTGTGGCTGCGCGCCGCGCGTGCGTCCAGGCGAGCACGTGAGCAGGGACGCAGCTGTCGAGGTGCTATGACTGGTGAGGTTGTCCGCGCGAAGAGATAGAAAACCTTGCTGAGACGGTCCGCCTCGGTGCGCGACGTCGCTGCGCCGCCGTCACCGCCGTTGTTGTTGCAACCGCTGGATGACGGGCTGCAAGCGCGTCCGCTGTTCCACCGCCTGGCGCTGCAGCTGCATCACCTGCTCCTGCATCTTCAGCCCCTCAGTGTGCACCGCCTGCCACTGCTGGCGCAGGGCGACCAGGTGCTGGTCCTGCTGCGGCGTCGTCTTCCCTTCCCTCTGGGCATGCTGCAGCGCAACAACCTGCGACTGCAGCTGCATGCCTTTGTAGGCGAGCTGCTGGTAACGCATACCGTGCTCCGTCATCGTTAACTGCAGCCGCGGCATCCAGTCCGTTTGGCCGGTCGGCGCCCGCACATGCACCAACTCCAAGCCCCCATGCACCTGCGTTTCCAGCACTGTGTACGCTGTCGAAGCCCCCTGCGGCGCAGCGCCCGCCGGCCGCACCGCGCTCGGCGCGGCCCGCACTGGCTGCGCGGCTGCCGCACCCGCGGCCGGTTTCGCGCTCGCTCCAGCCGCCGCCTGCTTCGCGCCTGCAGCGTCCTGCGCCGGCGGCGGCTTCGCGACCGCCTCCTGCGCCAGCCGGTACGCACGTACCAGCGCCGTCTGCACGCGCTGCGCGGCCCGCTCGCGCACGCGCCCGCCCAGCCCGCCCACGAACCGCGAGATCGAGTTGGCAAACGTCCCAGCGTCGAGCGCGTGCTTCCCCTGCCGCAGCACCGCCTGCGCACGCAGCCCCTCGGGGCCCTTGCGCAGGTACGGCAGCCCGTCTGCCGAACTCCCCCCCACCAGTCCCCCCGGCTTCGCGTTGGGCCCCTGCGGCCGCGGGCAGTACATCCACCGCGTCTCCGGCTGGATCTCGTTCTGCGCGATGCGCCGGTCCAGGTCCGCCTTCGCGGTGTTCACCGGCGCCTTGGCCTTGCTGCGCCCGACGTCCGGGAGCGCCACCTGCGCCTGCGTCACCGGCTGCGACTTGATTTGAGCCAACGCCGACTGCGCGCCGCCGCGCCCGCGCCCGCGCCCGCGCCCGCGGCCGCCGCGGCCCGCGCCGCGCCGGGCCCCGCGCGCTCCTCGTCGCTCGCGCCCTGCGGCTCCGCGCCCAGCCCCCGCTCCTGCGTCGCGCCCGCACCCCGCGCCACGCCATCGTCCACGTCCGAATCCACCTGGTCGAAGTTGTCGAGGTCCTCGTCGGGGATGTCGCGCAGGGGCCGCCGCGCGCGCGCGCGCCGCATCGGCCGCGCCGGCTGCGGCCCGGCGGCCGGGACCGCCCTCGCGCCGCCCCGCGCCCGCCAGCGCGCACCCTCGTCCCCGCCTTGGGGCGCGGCACGCGCGGCGTCGGCGGGCCCGCCTGCGCGGCCGCCTGCGCCTCGGACGCCCGTATCACCGCGTCCGCGCCCGCGCCCTTGGTCTTCCGCGGCTGCGGCGGCGCGGCCGGCTTGGGCAGAGGCAGCTTCGTCAGGCGCCCCTCCTTGACCCTCTCGATGGTGTCCCTGCTCTTGTCGGACAGCTTGCCCGCGAGCTGGAAGTACTCGCTCTTCGGGGAGTTGAACCGCATGCAGTTGTCATACAGCAGCGTCACGTCGGCCAGCAGCGCGTCCCACGTCTTGTAGTACTCCTGCTCCGCGCGCTCCGCCATGAGGTCGAAGTACATCGGCGTGTCGATGACCTGCGGGGTCGCGGACGGAGCGGCGGTGAGCGGGACGTGGCGCCGACCAACGGGGGCGCGCGCTCGCGGCCAGAGTGCGTGCGCGTGCGCGCGCGGGGCGCTCACCGCGCTGTACCCGGGCGCCACGTCGTCCGTGATCTTCTCCTGGAACCACCCCTTCTTGTCCATGTTCCGCAGCTTGTGCACCATGCCCATCATGTTCTCCCTGGTCGGCTCCAGCGGGGGGCCCGCCGGCGCCGCCCCCGCGGACTTCTGCGGCGTCGCAGCCTGCGCGCGCTGCATGCGGCGCTGCGCGACGGCCTGGCGGCGGCTGAGCGCGCTCCCGGCGCGCCGCGCGAGCGCCGACCCGGACCCGCCGCCCGTGGGCTGGCTCTTCACCGCGTCGAGGGCGGCGCTGTTGATCTTCAACTTCTGCGTGAAGCCCATCGGCATCTTGATCTTCTGGAGCGAGGTCGGCGCGGGCCCGGACCCCATGGGCGTGGGCGGGCGCGGGCCCTTGGGCCGCATGGGCCCCTTCGACACTCGCGCCGCCTGCCCCGGTCCCTTGCCGCCCTTCCGATTGACCTGCTTCCTGATGCCGCCCTGCACCTTCCCTGCGGACCCCACCGCGACGCGGGGCGCGAGCGGTCACGCACGGTCACTGCTGCCAAGGCACACAGAGCATTGGGCGCGTCTGGCACGGTGCCGCACCTAGCGCGTTCGGCCCGAGCGGGATGTTCTTGGGCAGCGTAAACTTCTGAGCCCCGCCCAGCATGTGCGGCCGTGGCCCGCCCATGGGCCGCACCCCAGGGTGGAGCGGAGGACGCAGCATGGGGCCCGGCGGCTGCCCGGGCATCTTGATTGTCGCCGGCACCTTGATCTTGATCGGCGAAGGTCCCGCGCCCGCCTGCCCGGGCAGCCCCTTGACCTTGATCATGGGCCGTTTCGCCGGCCCCGCTCCTGGCGCACTACCGTCTAGCTTCCGCTTCTTCGGCCCCGTGACCGCAGGGCCCGCCTGAGGTCTGGGAGGGGGCACCGGTCCACCCATCTTGAACTTGAAGGGGCCGGCCGCGGGGCGTGGCGCCGCAGGAGCCGTCGGGCGAGGGCCCTTGGGTCGCTGCTGCGCCTGCTTGGGCTTGGCCGTGGGACGCGGCTGCTGCGGCCTGGCGCCGCCGAAGTGCGGCCTGGCGCCCCCACCGATCTTGAATTTACCCAGTCCCGTGGGCCTCGCCGCGGCTGGGGCCGGTGGGCGCACGGTGGCGGGCATCTTGAGCTTGAGGGGAGACGCGGTCGCAGGCTGCGCGGGGGGCGCAGGAGCCGCGGGCGCGGCCTTCTGCTCTGCGTCATCCTGCTTCTTGATCTTGAATTTCGGGAACATCGCGGCCTAAGCGCCGCGCAGGCGACGCCCTCCCACGCCCAGAGCAGCGCCCGCCACCTCGCGCCTGGTTCTGCGCCGTATCGACGAGGTTGCGACTGCTAGACCATTCCAAGACGCACGTGATTCTACTGCGCTGGTGTGTACGACGGAACTAGCGTCGCCCAAGGTGTGGGCGCTGGAGACCGCGCAGTGAGAGGAGGCAGCGCAGCCAGGCGTCGCCCAGGTTGCGCAGCTCGCTCTCGACCCAAGACGAGCCCTTGGGCCGCAGAGTGCAGGGGCTGCGCGCCACCGCGCGCCCTCGCCCCCGCGCTGCCTGCACGGTGCGGCCGGGGAGGGGGGATGCAGCGCGACAGCCTGACTCAGCAGTGGCGACGGACAGCACGGGCAGGTCGGGCCCCGACGGATGGGACCGGCTCGAGCGGTGGAGGCTGCGTCTCCTGGTCGACACGTTCACCTGCGCGATGAGCGTCGCCACGTGGAGTCTTCGAGACCTCCGCGATGACATCTCGAGGACTGTAGGACGCGCGCGACATCGCGCGGCCAGTGCGGCGCACACAGACGTCGCAGCCGACGCTCGGACACAGCGACGACCGTGCGATCCAACGCTGTGGTGCGCTCGGCAAAGAGAGAGCAGCGCCAGTACTGAGGCCAGCACTGGCGGTTGCGGGGGTGCTGGCGGAGACTACGGCGCCGCGGCGACGGTGTCCCCGTTGGGCTGACCAGGTGGGTGGCGCGGGCGCGGCTCGGGGGAGTCCGAGCTTCTGTTGATGGCCGCGGAAACGCCGGTGCTTTGGCAGCGACGGGGGCCCGGTTCGGCAACCGCAGGCAAGCTGCGCGACCGGCTCCGAAGATGCCGCGCTGCAACTGACTCGCGCCGTGAGGTGCCGACAGGAAGAGAAGTGAGCATTGCACGCGCAGACCGTTGCCAGAGACGTTGCGTGTCGTGATGTCCTTGTCGTCGTGTATGTCGGGCCTGGCGTTTCGACGAATGAGCGGACCGGCACGAGCATACGTCGTGCGCTCGTGCGTGCCCCGCACAGGCGCTCGCCCACGCAGCTTTGCGGTCCCTCGCCCGGGCTTGTGTGGACAGACTGGAAGACTGTACTCAGCGCAGGGCTACTGGTAGGCGGGCTTCCTGCCGCGAAGTGCGCGTGAGAACCGGTCAATCTGCGCAAAACCCGCATCTTCACGTCGTTTTCGGCGTTGCTCGTTCCGCACGGCTCCTCGTTGCGTGCTCCAACAGCGTGGATGGATGGATGCGGTGCGCGCAGGGCGTGCATGAGAGCGAGGCTCTGGCGCAGGCAACGCCCGCGTCAGTCAGACTCGTGAAGACGAGGGCCAGGTATGCAACAGCCACGTCGCCGGGGTCAGCGAGTGTTCCCGTGCCCGCAGGCCCCTTGCGCAGCAAACACGCAGCCGTTTGGGAGCTCTCGTGCTCCGGCGGAAAGTCTGGATACTTGTGCCTCGTGCTTCAATTCATGGGCATGATGATGCGCTCCTGCTTCTCTGATTCCGTGCCTCAGCTGGCGCCTACACGAACCCTCTATCCAGTGAGGTGCTATCTTTCCGTCCACGCAGGCTACCGCTGTTGAGCATCATTAAAGCACGCTGAGACGAAGTTACGCTTCGCATCTTCGCCGAGCCGATCGGACATCGATGGTTCCCGGCTGGAATCTTTGCGGCCGTCTAGCCTGAGCTTCCGCAGCGCTGCGGCATTCCCGCCCGTCCGAGGCAAACCAGGTGATCGCCGTGTTCGCCGCATCTACCGCTCATTCGTGTCGACACAGTCGCCGCAGAAAAGCGACTGGGCGTGTTTTACGGCTAGAAACGTCCCTCCTCGCTGCTGCATTGATGCACGTGCAGGTCGGGTCGTTTGGAGTGAGCGCTGACAGTGCGGCGGGTGGGCTCTGCCTGCGTCCATCCAGGTGAGTGCTCGCACACTCAAAATGTTGCCTTTTCTCCGAAACATGCATGTGTTGTCTGCATGAAAGCAACGTCTTCCAGCACGACGCGAGACGTCGCGCCTTGCGCGACGAAGGCCAGGCTGACGTTGCGCACGCTACCTCCCCTCCTGCTCCGCCACGGACATGCGACTGACAATCTTCGCCAGCGCTGCGATGCATCATGGTGCGCAGACGAGAGTCGACGCCATGGCTGCCCCCGCCGACATGCACGGGCCCATCGATAAGCTGAAGAGGGCGGAGAGCGACGATGACCGCGCCGAGCATGCTCGTGAGGTCGCCAAGCGACTTCTCGGGCGAGGGGATGAGGTCACTTCGAGGAGGAACACAGCTTTGGATGTTGGTGCTGCGAAAGTGCTGGCAAACGCCCTACGAGACGCCCGCAGCGATAAAGCAAGAAAGCAAGTGGCTCTCGCGTTGTCGGGGTTCCTTGACGGAGACGACGACGCGGCAGGCCGTCGCAGAGACGCGGCATTTCAGGGTGGTGCTGGACAGGAGCTTGCGCGAGCTTTGCGAGGCGCGAGCGACGACGCTTCTCGAGGGTTCGTGCTGGCAGCAGTGTGGAACTATTTGCGCGATGGCGGGACAACTGAGGCGCGGCGAAGAAGAGATGCTGCGAAGAAACTGCTTCCGAACGCAGTCGTGAATGCCATCACAGTGACAGCGCTCAAGGAGGATGGACACTGGAGTGTCATTCTCGGTTGGCTGCTCGGGGCGGCTGGAGGCGTAGGCGCAGCTGTGCCGGAGTTGGCAGACTGCATTCTGGAGGCGCAAGAGGGCTACATGAACAGCGCCCGCAATATGGCTCTGCGGCGTGCCTGGGGCGCTGTTCTGGAGCATGGCCTCAAGCATGCACGCGAGCAAGACATTGTGCCGATCTGCGAGTACCTGCGACAGAAGACCGCGTCCGATGGAGTGCTGCGCGCAGCCCGGCGAGACAGTTGCTCAGTGTTGGTGCGGCTGCTGCGGCGGGTGACGCCCAACAGCGTCAACGAAATAGCGCTGGCTTGTGCGCTGGAGGCGGTGGTGTCGGGCGACGACGGCGACGCGGCGGCGCGGCGCAAGACCGCGCACGAGCACGGGGCGACGGCGGAGCTGGCCAAGCGGCTGCAGGAGGTGACCGCCAACAGCGTCAACGAAATAGCGCTGGCTTGTGCGCTGGAGGCGGTGGTGTCGGGCGACGACGGCGACGCGGCGGCGCGGCGCAAGACCGCGCACGAGCACGGGGCGACGGCGCAGCTGGCCAAGCGGCTGCGGAACGTGGACGTGACCGCCAACAGCGTCAACGAGCTTTGGCTGGCTGCGGCGCTGGCTAAGGTGGTGTCGGGCGACGACGGCGACGCGGCGGCGCGGCGAAGGACCGCGCACAAGCACAACGCGACGGCGCAGCTGGCCAAGCGGCTGCAGAACGTGGACGTGACTGCCAACAGCCACAACGAAAGGGCGCTGGCTGGTGCGCTGCTTGAGGTGGTGTCGGGCGACGACGGCGACGCGGCGGCGCGGCGCAAGACCGCGCACAAGCACAACGCGACGGCGCAGCTGGCCAAGCGGCTGCAGAACGTGGACGTGACCGCCAACAGCGACAACGAGTTTTGGCTGGCTGCGGCGCTGCTTGAGGTGGTGTCGGGCGACGACGGCGACGCGGCGGCGCGGCGCAAGACCGCGCACGAGCACAACGCGACGGCGCAGCTGGCCAAGCGGCTGCAGAACGTGGACGTGACCGCCAACAGCGACAACGAGTTTTGGCTGGCTGCGGCGCTGCTTGAGGTGGTGTCGGGCGACGACGGCGACGCGGCGGCGCGGCGCAAGACCGCGCACTAGCACAACGCGACGGCGCAGCTGGCCAAGCGGCTGCAGAACGTGGACGTGACCGCCAACAGCGACAACGAGTTTTGGCTGGCTGCGGCGCTGCTTGAGGTGGTGTCGGGCGACGACGGCGACGCGGCGGCGCGGCGCAAGACCGCGCACGAGCACAACGCGACGGCGCAGCTGGCCAAGCGGCTGCAGAACGTGGACGTGACCGCCAACAGCGACAACGAAGCCGTGCTGGCTCGTGCGCTGGCTGCGGTGGTGTCGAGCAACGACGGCGACGCGGCGGCGCGGCGCAAGACCGCGCACGAGCACAACGCGACGGCGCAGCTGGCCAAGCGGCTGCGGAACGTGGACGTGACCGCCGACAGCGTCAACGAGCTTTGGCTGGCTGCGGCGCTGGAGGCGGTGGTGTCGGGCAACGACGAGGGCGCGGCGGCGCGGCGGGAGGCTGCGCACAAGAAGGGGGCGACGACGAAGCTGGCCGAGCGGCTGCAGGAGGTGACCGCCGACAGCGACAACGAAATAGCGCTGGCTCGTGCGCTGGCTGCGGTGGTGTCGGGCGACGACGGCGACGCGGCGGCGCGGCGCAAGACCGCGCACGAGCACAACGCGACGGCGCAGCTGGCCGAGCGGCTGCGGAACGTGGACGTGACCGCCAACAGCGTCAACGAGCTTTGGCTGGCTGCGGCGCTGGCTAAGGTGGTGTCGGGCGACGACGGCGACGCGGCGGCGCGGCGAAGGACCGCGCACAAGCACAACGCGACGGCGCAGCTGGCCAAGCGGCTGCAGAACGTGGACGTGACCGCCAACAGCCACAACGAAAGGGCGCTGGCTGGTGCGCTGCTTGAGGTGGTGTCGGGCGACGACGGCGACGCGGCGGCGCGGCGCAAGACCGCGCACAAGCACAACGCGACGGCGCAGCTGGCCAAGCGGCTGCAGAACGTGGACGTGACCGCCAACAGCGTCAACGAAATAGCGCTGGCTTGTGCGCTGGCTGCGGTGGTGTCGGGCAACGACGACGGTGCGGCGGCGCGGCGCAAGACCGCGCACGAGCACGGGGCAACGGCGGAGCTGGCCAGGCGGCTGCGGCAGGCGTGCGAGCAGGCGCCGGGCAGCGTCACCAGGGGTCTGATTTGTGTGCTGGGTAGTGCTCTTCGCGAACTGCTGCGTTATGACAACGAGGGCGCGGCGGAGCGCCGGAAGGAGCGCAGGAGCGTCAACATGGCG